CGCGCACGCAGCGTACCCAAAGCACTGCGGCGGCGGCGCAACCGCCGTCGTGTTGGGCGAGAACGGCGGCTGGGACGCGACAAAGAGGAGCGCGTTGGCGGCCGAGTTGCCAGAGTCAAACGTGGCCTTGCCACCCGTCAAACGAGGCCAGACGCTCGAGGCATTCACGAGCGCTTCGTCCAACAGCGACAGCGTCGGCCAGAAATCCGGACCCTTGTCGGCGCTCGCGCGCAGCACGTCTTGCTGCTGCCATGCGTACTCAGGTCTAATTAATGATGAGTACGATAGCGTGATACACACAAAGGTACCGGACAAGGTGAGACGTCATGGGCGTGATGGGCATGAGGTTAATACCGTGGATCTCGGACGCGAGGTTCCCAAACCACGTCGAGTACACGACCGACATTTCGCTGACGACCCCGACCATGCGGTTGGCTGCAAACACGGGCTCGTAGATCGCAGGCGTCTGACGTTCCGACATGTGCCAGTAGCGCTGCGTCGAGCGCACGTCCATGGCCAGCAGCAGCTTGGCATAGTTGTAAAAGCCAGGTGTTTCGGTAGCATCCAGAGACGCGTAGAGCGCGACGCCGTAGTAGGCGTTGACCGCCTCCGAGCTGCTCTCTTGGGACTTGCCGTTCGACATGCTGAAGAGGCCGCTCGCGTACGAGTGGCCCGTGAACCAGTCCTTGTGCCGCGCGGCCGGGAAGAGCAACGAATTCTCGTCCGCCGCAATGTCGCCGACAATCATATCGATGGCCGCCGCGTTGGCGGCGACCCACGTTGGGTCAAAGCGCCGGAGCACCGCGGCTGCGTAAGCAAAGTAGCCGTAATGAAACTAGAAACCCTCAGACGATGCGACACGCGGCGATATAGGAACGTACGTGGTGGTCGTTGTAGTAGCCCGCGCCAAACTCGGCGTCCCGGTCCGCGAGCCCGGCTTTCGTGACGAGACCGCCGTACGTCGTGTCGTAGTAAAAGCAGTTGGTCGACGCCGGGTCCCACCACTTGGCGAGCTCGCGCTTCATTTTGGCAAGGCCGATGGCGACCGTCGACGAGTCATTGAACCGCTCGGCCATGAGCACCAAGCGCGCCTCGCGCGCGATCTGCTTGCCAAAGTTGTACGCGTCCAGCGTGAACGTCGGGTAGAGAGCAATGTCGCTTTGGAGAGCTGCCTTGATGGCGGCCACTGCAGCGACGTACGCTGGCGACCCCGGCGACGCCATGATACCTAGATACCGCCAATGGTACTCGAGATTCTACTAAGGAATGAGACGGCCACACCTTGGCTCGGGTAGTCCCACGCCGGGTCCTCGATAACATCGAGAAAGCGCCACGTGTTGCCGACAACGCCCGTCATCGGGCCGCGGATCGCCATGTATTTGACCTAAAAGCGGTGTCAGCTCTCCATCTCTCTCACGGATCACCGGTACCTCATCGAGCAGCGTCATGTTGGCAGTGAACGTGTCCATGTGATGCAAGAGGCACGTCATGAGCAGCGGCGGCGCCGAGCGCCCAGGGAAGCTCGCGGTCGTCCAGTCAAAGCGCCAGTGCATGATGGAAGCGTTCTTTGCGTCGACGTGATGCGAGATGGCGGCGCCGACCGGGTAGGTCGACGCGTGTTGCGCGAGGAGCGGGCGGGCGCCGCTGTAGAGCTCGAGACCCAAGCGCAGGACGCCGTTGTACGACGACGGTCCCCGGAACGTCTTGCCATCTCGCGTCCATTGCATCGGCGACGACGCAAAGAGGAGCCACTTGTGCCAGTTGCCGAGCAGCAGCTCCGAGCAGTTATGCGCTGGATCGTCCTTGAGCGACAGCATCTCGAGCGCCGACGAGAGCAGAGGCGTCGCACCCTTGTACTCGAGCGTAATGTACGGCGAGCCACGCACGAGGTGCAGGAGGATGCCACCGTCTTGGAACGACAGCGTGACGCTGAGCGCGTCGTAGCGGACGACAACGAGCGGCGACGCACCAACGTCGACGACGAGTTCGGCTGTGAAGCCTTCGATGATGTTGGCGGCTGTCACGACGCGGAACGGGTAGCTGATCTGCAGTTGCTGGTCAATGACCTTGACCGAGTAGGGGAGCGACGCGACGGCTTCGTTCCCGAGCACAAAGTTGGTCCAGAAGGCGCCGGTCGGGAAGGGCGAGCCGGCAATCGACGGGTGCAGGTGGCTACGGGGCGCCTGCAGCGGGTGCGTCACGTTCACGTACGGCCCGCCATCCATCGCGTGGACGGCGGCGAGCAGCAGCGCGACGAGGCCAAGCAGCAGCATGTTTCTTGTCTGCCAACTTGCGATCTGCCAGACAATTGCCATCGCCGCCAACAACACACACTCCTGCGCTGGATATTTTTATTCGCAGGTGCGCATCGGCCATAGTGAAACCTAGCTACCAAGCGCACCTGCAAAATATATCATCCCGACGTCTGGCGGCCTGTCGTGGTGCTGGCGTGTCGCACCGGCGGCGGAGGCGGCAAGGCCGCCACGACAGGCTGCAAGCTGGGCTGCAAGCATGGGCTGCAAGCAAGCGAGTCCACGCAGGCTGCGCCACGAGGGCTGCAGCTCGCAGCAGCGGTCGCGGCGAAATCCAAGCCAGGTAAGCCTTGCAGCCAACGAATCAACGCATCTAGGCCGCTTCCCGTCATCTTCAAGGCAGCGTCAGCCGCACGGGATGGGACGGCTCCAAAATCGGCGCTCCGAAGCTCGTGGCGCAAGGTGATCCCTGCTGGCGATGGAGCCAGCAGGTGCTACTGTCGTCGCACGCAAGCGGTTTTCGGGTGTTGCAGTATCCATCGGGCCGACCGAAGCCACGCCGCAGCGGCCGCATCAACGACTCGAGCGGTCCAACGCAGGTGCTGGCAAGGCTAGCGCAGTAACACAAGGCGCTGGTGTCGCACAAGACGCAAGGATAGCATCGAGGATGTGTTGTTCATAATCACATGGCGTACGTCTGCGACCGCAGCATCATGGTGAGGAGGCGGCCGACGTCCAGTGCGCTTGGTCGTTGTCGCGGGTCGTTGTCGAGGCAGCGCTGTGCGATCGAGAGCACTTCGGGCGGGCACTCGTCCGTGAAGCTCGGTCGGAGCTCGCCTTCGATGACCATCATGGCGATCACGGGCTTGGGCAGCGCCGTGCCGTTGGTCGAGACAGCGTTGCCATACGGACTCTCGCCCGTGTCGACTTCGGAGAGGAGGACGCCGAACGAGTACATGTCGGCGCTCTCACTGTACCGGTCGCCTTTGAGAATCTCGGGCGCAATCCACGCAATCGTGCCAATCTAGCCACCTTATCGTGAGCGGAGGAGATACAAACAGCGGGAAGGACCTCGGCCGTCATGGTCGCATCCATGACGACTTGGCGACTCGTGCCAAAGTCGCTGAGCTTGGCTTCAAACTGCGCGCCGAGGAGGACGTTCTTGGCCTTGAGGTCGCGGTGGATCACGTGGAGCTCATGGAGGTAGCTCAGGCCCGCAATCACGTCGCTGAGCACTTGGACCTTGGAGTACGTTTTCACAGACGTTTGCGCCGGCCACACGAGCTTGAGGGCGGCCGACGACCGCTGCGAGTCGTCGTCGTCCTTGGCGCGGACGAGCGTGGCGAGGTCGCCGTTGGGCATGAACTCGAGCACTGCACTGAGGTCCTTGAGCGTGCTCCACGAGACGCTAGCTTGCCAATGAGCGCGATGCCAATAGAAACCACGCACCCGATGAAGCGCACAATGTGGGGGTGGTCGAGCTGCGCGCAGAGTCGGATTTCGTCCATAAAATCGCGGACGCCGTCGCTGTTGCCCTCGACGGCCGACGGCAGCATGCGCTTGACGGCCACGTCCATCGAGTGGTACCTCGCAAGGTACACGACCCCAAAGCCGCCCGATGCGATCGTCTGCTGCATCACAATCTCCTTGTGGTCGATCCGGAAGCGCTGAAAGTTTGGATCAAACCGAATGTCCGAGCCCTTGTCGGCGCCGGTGGCGAGCGCCGTGAGCTCGCGCGGCCGCCCGCCGAGGCCGATCTGCTGGTCGCCGTGCTTGTCGAGCATATGATGCGCCGGTGGCAGTGGCCGCGCGGACGCCATGTCGCGGTTGGTTTGATTCGCGAGCGCCGAGAACGAGAACGCTGGCCCCTTCTTCCGCGCCCGGCGGTACCGGCGGTACACAAAGAGGCTCAGGCCCGCCACGACGACGGCGACGGCGACACCGATGAGTGCATACGCCGTGTCACTCAAGCCCTCTACGCGTGGTCAGTTATCACTCGTCAGGACAAGGTACGAGACCGGAGAGACCGTCGACGCACACGGCGATGCCGCTTGGTAGCTTTTGACGCGACCCGTTCGTGCAGTCGCTGGACGTGACCTCTGTTTTGAGACTGCTCTTGACGTCGAGCGACTGGAAGACCGTGTTGTACTGCGCCATCGAGATGGTCAAGTGCGCAATTTTGGTGTCCACCAGCGACCTAAAAGGGGTCATTGTCGGCGCATCAAAGCGTGCGATTACAGTGTTTTGAGGTCGACAAAGTTGCACAGATGCAGGCTCTCGATCGCGTTGCCGTCGAGGTACCTACCCACATTGCTCCACGTCGCGTCGCAATCGAGCGCACGACGACGTACAAGGTGGTGAGCGTCGACGGAAACAGAACGTGGTCGAGCCTCTGGAGCTTGGCGTTGTGCGAGAGATCGAGCACTTCGAGTCGCGGGGGAAAGAGGCTCGAGGCGTTGGGCGGCAGCGTCGATAACGCGTTCGCACTCAGGTTCCTAATGTCGTCTCCACCAGCATGCATGTGGTGCAACGGACGTACAGAGTCTTGAGGTTCGAGGCCACAAGCTGCGTCAACGACGCAATCTCGTTGTGTGCGAGCGACCTAATGCGAAACAGAGCGCTTTAGACGCAGGGGTGCGCAGTCGGGCTACAGTGTCTTGAGCGAGTCGGCAAAGGGCGTCGCGTTGGACATGCTAGTGAGCGCATTCTTGGCGAGCGACCTAGGCCACGATCAGACGCAGCGGAGACGGCGAGTGCGTGTACAAGTCTTCAACGATAAGGGCGACGTCAAAGCGACGCTGCATGTTGCCCAGCCTCGCGATGCCATGGCCCGACATATCGCTATAGGTCGGCCAACAACATCACCATCGTCGTCGTCTTCGCGATCGAGGCTGTGTACGTACATGGTCTTGGCGTAGTGCGTGACCGAGTCGAGGTACGCGAACGGCAGCTTGGGCGGCGACGCGTAGCACGGCTCGTCCTGGGCTGCGCGCTTGTCCGCGTTGGCGAGCACGACGGCCATCGTGAGGTTCGTGCATGCGTCGACCCACTCGCTCAGGTCGGCGCCGGCCTTGGCGAAGCAGCCGGGCGAGATCTTGGCCGCGTCCGCAAAGCACTGCGCCGTGAACGTCGCCGTCGGGAACGGCTTGAGCGTCACGACGCTCATCCTGTCTACGGCGCTGCTGTCAATAAGAAACACACTCGGCAGCGGATACCGCGTGTGATTTTTATCCCCGACTTGCCATTTGTATCGAATTTAAAGAGTTTGATTCTATTGGCACGGTTCAGAGCGCCGTGACACACGACCACCTGGGCGCCGGGCCTCCTCCGCCATCGCGAGCTCATGGACAGCCGCGCCAACCGATCGATCGCCATGGCGCACGGCCATCGACAATCCACCGCCTGCGATCGGTGCCAAGAGCTGGCAGTAGGCTGCTCGGCAGGCTGCGTCGTTCTAATAGGATGCGCACGGCGGATGGCCAGACGTCGTGACGTTATGCAGCTGCACGCAGCGTGGACCACCGCAGCATGCACAACTATTCGCACATGGTCCGCTAGGCGACGCCCACTGAGGCTGCTAGTACGCCCAAGGCGCAAGCGGCAGGACGCGGTGCCATGGCGGGTGCAGCGATCGGGTGTAGCGGCTGGGCGAGGACCTGTGGGAGCTCTGTGGGGGGTCCCCTCGAGATGGGTGGGGGGTTTCCCTCGTTGCGAGCTCGCGTCCGGTTTCGTGGGGCCGCTGGCAAAGATACCACCGCGCAACGTAATTTAAAAGTCCCGTGGCGTCACTGCTACGTCATGCATACAAACACCAAGTGGAAGCGTGAGTAATAAAACAAGAAACCCGAGCGATTTGGTGGGAACTATTATAATACCAAATCCAGCCCGGACCCAAAGAAGAAGAAGAAGACGGTGGCCCCATGGACGAGAGCCCGCCACCGAGCGTCACGTCGCCGACGTCCCTCGACGACTTCCGGCGGTCGTCCGTCGGGCCCATGCCCCGGCGAGAGACCGAGCCATTGGGCTACCAGCGGGCTGCGTCCCTCAAGTTCCTCCAGCGGGGCGCCAGCGGCCATGCGAGCATGAGCATGGGCCCGAACGACATCCCGTCGCATGCAGGCAGCGTTGCTGGCGCGCCCATGTCAGCGCCGAGCCTTTCCAAGCCAGGCTCTCGGCGCAGCTTTGCGTTCTTTGGCTCCAAGGACCGCCCGCCCTCGAGCACGGGCGCGCAATCCTCGTTCCTCGGTGGGCAACCGCCGTTTATGAGCAACAAAACCGGCTCGGGCTTGAGCGACTCGTCAATGCCAGAGCAGTCGCCGGCGTCCACGGGCTCGCAAGTGTCGACGATGCAGTCGCAGTCAATGGCACCGTCCGATAGCCCAGCGAACGCGATCTTGCACAGCGGGTACCTGACGAAGCGTGGCCACGTCATTACAAACTGGAAGACGCGCTTTTTCGCGCTGCGCTCGCAAGGGCGCCTCAGCTACTACAACGACGAGGGCATGGGCAAGAAGTTAGGCGAGGTCCACGTGTCCAAAGTGAGTCCATGGAGCGGCGAAACCAATGGCTTCATGTTCCAGACGACCAAGCAAATTTCGTACTACGTGTACGCGAGCTCCAACACGGAGCGCGCGCGCTGGCTCCAGGCGCTCGACGACTTTTACATTGTGCCCGACCCGTCGACTGCGAAGGGTACACTGCTCCATCCACGACCCATCCTCCTCATTACTCATGCACGTCGTCTAGGTACCTCACCAAGCGCGGCCACCTCGTGCCGAGCTACCGCTTGCGCTACTTTGTCATGTGCGGCAGCGTCGTCAAGTATTACAGCGACGAGACCGCGTACCGCACGGGCGCGTCGGCGTTGGCCGAGATTGAAGTCAAGAGCGGCGGTCGCTGGGACGGCGAGAGCACGGGTCTCTTCTTCAAGACCGCAACCAACAGCACCATGTTTGTCTGCGCCGAGAACGTGGCCGACTTGCAAAAGTGGATCGAGGCGCTCGGCCGCATCTTCAACGAGCCCATCAAGCCCGCACCGGTCGCGTGCGCCGGCTGGCTCACCAAGCAAGGCCACAAGCGCAAGAGCTGGAAGAAGCGGTACTTTGTGCTCCGGGGCACCGTGCTCTCGTACTACGCGGACTTTGAGGCTGCCAACACGCGCGCCGGGAAGGCCCTTAGCGACGTATCGCTCAAGGACGTCGGTCCCTGGGACGGCGAAGCGTGTGGTTTTATGTTTACGACACTCGAGAACGTTCCGTACTACGTCTTCGCCGACAACGAGCGCGACCAGGCCAAGTGGATGAGTGCGCTCAAGAAGGCGGTTGGCGCCGACACGCTGGCCATCGAGACGATCGACGAGCCGGAGAAAAAGTGCCCGCGCTGCGAGTATGTGCTCACGGGCACGCGCTTCTGCGGCGCGTGTGGCTTCAACCTGCGCGGCACGAGCAACGAGCGGTCCAAGACGGCGCCGCCGCTCACGGCCGCTTCGGGCGACGACGACGACGCGGACGACGACGAGAGCAATGCGATGGACGACCTCGACGCGCTCTCGGAGGGCGCGCGCACGCTGCTGCTCGCGGTCATGCAAAATCCCAGCGTGCAGCTGGGCGGCGACAGCGAGAACGCGTTTGCGCCTCGCATTGGAAGCAACCCGTCGCTCGAGACGGCGGCAAACGAGCCGCCGCCGCCGCCGCCGTCGCCGGAGAAGCCTGCACCGCTACGGATCGCGGCGCCAGAGAAGCCACCGACGCCGGAGAAGCCGTTGGAGAAGCCATTGGAGACGCCGTCGGCGTTTTTGATGCGTCCGCCGACACCGCCCAAGCCGTCGGCGGGCAAGAAAAGCGACAGCGACGACGACGACGACGAAGAATCCAAGGAAGATTTTTCCAAGTTTCGCACCGCCACCGACTCGTTTGCGTCCAAGCAACGAAAGCAGGCGCCGCGCGCGAGTACTGTACCTGGCCCGACGACCAACGACACGAGTTTTAGCTCGTTTGGCTCGGACCAAGCGCCGCCCCGTCGCATCTCGCAGCCGATTCCGATCGACGGGCCGCAGCCGCTGGGACCGTCGGCGCGCAAGACGGTGGCACAGCTCCTCCGCGAAGCCGAGAGCGACGAAGAGGAAGAGAAGAAGGAGCACGACGAGGACGATGACGCACCTCGAGGAGACAAACCGGCCGAAGGCTTGTCTCAATTCCACCTGCGCGGGTCGGCGCGGCAGTTTGATACCTTGCCGCCCAACGACGACCACGACGAGATGGCCGCTGCCGTCGTCGCGTCGCCAAGCTCCCGTCACAGTGACGCGCTCGTGCTCGATGGCGTCGTCGGCCTCGACGAGGAAGCCAAGCCGAAGCTCGACTTGCACACGCTCATGGAGCGCGAGTTGCACTGCACGCCCCTCTTTGTCCCGTCGGCCGAGTCGCCCGTCCGCTGCCGCCTCTACGCGTCGATGGCCTACGCCACGTCCAAGAAGATTCTCGTCTTTTTATCCGACTCGGGGCCGCTCGGCGTGTGGCATCAGAACGACGACATGAACGCCGCGCTCGACGAAGACCACCCGTTTGCGATGCTGCCGTATTTCCAGCGTGCCGTCTCGGAAGGCTACAGCGTCGTGGTCTGCAACCCGTTCTCGAACAGCGCCAAGGTGTTTGAAGAAGGCGGCCGCGAGCGCATTGTGCCGATCCCGTCGTCCGCAACGCCGAAAGAGCACGTGCTGTTTGTGTGGGAGAAGTTTCTGCAGCCGACCGCGGCCGAGATCTCGGTCGTCGCGTACCAGCGCGGTGGATCGCTCGCCGTCGCGCTGCTCGAGCACTCGGAGCGCTGCCGGACGCGCCTCCACCGCATGGCGTTTGTCGATTCCAAGCACGTTGTGAACCGCGAGAGCACAAGCGCGGCCGTCCTCGAAGTCCTCGGTCGCCGCACGATCCAATGGGAAGCCTCGAAAGACCAAGCGCTCGGCGGCCAGATCGTCGAGTCGCAGGAGCGCGTCGGCTGCGTCTGCCTCTCGATCGGTGCGTGCGACGACCTGCACGTGCTGCAGCAGGCCGAGGACCCGGTGTTTGCGTACCTCCTGGCCAACCCGCCGCGCCCGGGCATGACGGCGATCGTCAAGCAGGTCCGCAGTGTCCTCCGCGCGCGCCGCAAGACGCTGACGGAAAAGAAGCCCGAGATGCGCAACTCGAACGTGTTTGTGCTCGGCGAAGCCGACACTGGCAACAGCGACAACATGAACGACGACGAGCCGTCGCCAGAGAAGGAAATGCAAGTCGCGCGGCAAGCGCCGGTAGGACCACGTATTGATACCTTGATACTAAAAGGATGGCATCGACGTAGGCGCCGCCAACCTACTATTTGCCCAAGCAGACAGCGGCGGCGCCCAAGTCCAAGACGCACAACATGATTTCGATGCGCGACTTTGAGCTGCTCAAGGTCGTGGGCCAAGGCGGCTTTGGCAAGGTCTTTCTGGCGAAGAAAGTGACGGACCCGCACAAGGATGAGTGCTATGCGATGAAGGTGCTGAAGAAGCAGCACGTGCTCTCGAGCGGCCTCGTCAACACGACGATGGCCGAGCGCAAGATCCTCACGGAAATCTCGCACCCGTTTGTGGTCCAGCTCTACTACGCGTTCCAATCCGAGTCCAAGTTGTACCTGGTCATGGACTACCTCAGCGGCGGGTCCCTCGCGCTCCATCTCCGTCGCCGGCGCAAGTTTCCGGAGGACTGGGCGCGCTTTTACGGGGCCGAAGTGGCCGCCGCAATCGCGCATCTACACCACGTCAACATCATTTACCGCGACGCCAAGCTCGAGAACGTGCTCATGGACCACGAAGGGCATGTGCGGATCACAGACTTTGGTCTCTCCAAGCAAGGGGTCTCGGGGCTCCAGGGCGCGACGACTTTTTGCGGCACGGCCGCCTACATTGCGCCCGAGCTTCTCAAGGGCCAGACGTACGGCAAGGCGGCCGATTGGTGGTCGTTTGGCATCCTCCTCTACGAAATGATTGGTGGCAAGCCGCCGTACTACCACCGCAACCGCGACATCATGTTCCAGACGATCCTCAAGCAGGAGTGGGTGACGTTTACGCCCGAATTCTCGGACGCGGCCGTCTCGCTCATCCGCGGGGTGCGTGTCAATCTGCATGATGGCTATCTGTACTGATATATATGATGTGTTGTGTAGCTGCTGACGCGGGACCCGACGCAGCGCCTCGGCAGTGGCCCGCGCGGCGCCGACGAGGTGCTCACGCACCCGTTTTTCGATGCGATCGAGTGGGCTGAGCTCCTCGCGAAGCGCATCCCGCCGCCGTTCAACCCGGGCGTCGGTCGCCTCGACACGCATTTCGTGGCGCAAAACCTCAACGAAATCACGACCCAAGACCGACAGGCGAGCATGATGTACCGCAACGACCACGGCCCGCAGCGCCACAACGACTTTGATGGCTTTAGCTTTGTCGGGCGGTCCAACCTCAATTTGGACCTGAGCTAAAACGCCCTAGACCGTCAAGAAGAAGAAAAACATGTTCCTCGTCTCATTCCTCTGGCAATTCACCACCGTGTTGGTCAATATCGTCTACTAAAAGTTAGTACTTCGAGTGGCCTACGGGTAGTAGTACGAGCCAAGGGCTTGGTCTAGCACGGACGTGCGCGAAAACTTTTAACAGTAAGTGCAAATTCAGTCGGAAGTTCGAAGTTCAATTCGCTTAGATAAGGTGCTGGCGCCAGCGCCCATCCCACGCTACAACCATGGAGGACCAGCCACCTGCCCACAAACTGTACTCGGTTATGCGAATTTCCAGCGAGGGTCCGCCAGCAGGCGGCGTGTGATTGGCCAAAAGGCCTCGAAAGTGCACTCTGCCGCCTCATCCGAAGTTTCTATGATACCCCCTGGCTGTGTAATGCAATCGCAAGTTTGAGCAGCAGCAGCAGCAGCATGGTCGGCGACGGAAGCCCGGACGAGATCCTCTGCGCCGGGTACCTCACCAAGCGCGGCCACGTCGTGACCAACTGGAAGACGCGCTTCTTCGTGCTGCGGCCGCACGCGATCCTGTGCTACTACGCCGACGAGTCGATGGCCAAGAAGCTCGGCCAAGTGCACCTCGTCAAGGTCGCGCCGTGGGAGTACGTCTCGGCGACGACGGCCAACAGCATCCTCAAGTCGACGCGTGGCAGCGACGAGATGAAGTTTGGCTTCATGTTCTTCACGACCAAGCGCGTCGCCTACTACGTCTACGCGAACGTCAACGCCGAGCGTCAAAAGTGGCTGCTCGCCCTCCAAGACCTCTACGTCGTCACGTCCAACGCGACCGACTGCGAGGGCTACCTCACGAAGCGCACGCCCGGCTTTTCGTTCCTGAGCTCTCGCCCCAAGTAGTTCTCTTCCTCTCCAAGGACGAACTGTTGACGCACGCGCATAGGTACTATGTGCTCACGGGCACGCTCCTCAAGTGCTACCACGACGAGGAGGGCTACCGCGGCCACGACGTGCCCTCGGCCAAGATCCACATCAAGACCGTCGGCAAGTGGGAAGACGGCCTCATGGTGCAGTCCGAGACAGGCTCGATGCTGTACCTCTCGACGTCGCACCCGGACGACCAGGAGCGCTGGATGCGCTCTGTCACCACCAACGTCGCGTCTGCCATCAAGCCGATTTCGTGTGCTGGGTACCTCACCAAGCAAGGGCACCGGCGCAAGAGCTGGAAGCGGCGCTACTTTGTGCTCCGAGGCGGCACCTTGGCGTACTACGCCGACTACGACTCGATGAACAAGCAGAGTTTGGCCGAGGTCGGCGTCGAAGACGTCGCGCTCTGGGACGGCGAGCAGTTTGGCTTCCAGTTCATCACGACCGAGCAAGTGCCCTACTACGTCTTTGCTGAGAGCGACCGCGAGCGTCAAAAGTGGATGGTGGCCCTCCAGACGCTCGTCCGGACCCACAGCGCACCGCTGCACATCCCGAACGTCCTCGCACCGCCCAGCAGCAGCAACGCCAAGTGCTGTCCCAAGTGCCGGCACATGGTTACCGGCTCGCGCTTCTGTGGCTCGTGCGGCCACAACGTCGACCTGCCGTACAACAAGCCGCCAATGGTGCCCCGTGACGGCAGCGAGCAGAGTGCGTACTCGAGCCGGAGCACGTCGCCGGCGCACCGCATGAGCGTCCAAGTACCGCCCCGAGGTCCGCCGCCGCCGCACCACCACAACAACCAGCAGGACCACGACGATCTGCTGCATGACATGGAGGCGCTCTCGGAAGGTGCGCAGCACCTCCTCATTGCGGTGCTGGAGGCGTCGCCGCGCGCAAGCGACCTCAAGCGCGTCACGACAGCGTTGAACGACCTCAGCGGCGCCTCCAACTCGTTTGTGATGCTCGAATCGGTCGACGTCGACGTCGACAACAACGGCGACGACGAGCTCGACGAAGCGCTCGCCAAGGCCGATTTACACAGCAACGACGACGACGATGCGGTGCGCGCGTCGATCGTGCATCATGATAAAGTCGTGGTCGTGCCGCCGACGCACGAAGAGGAAGACTACTCCGAGTCAGAGGACGAAGCGCATCCAAACCAACATGAGGATCCGCCGCCGATGCGCCCATCGCTTCTCTCGGCCTCTTCCATCGAGGAAGAAACCAAAGACGACGACAACCAGAAGCCGTCACCAGTCGCTGCGTCGTCCAGCGACGACCTCGCCAACGACGACATACTGCCGCGCCAAAGCTCGTTTGGGGAGCTCGACTTGAAGGGCATCATCGGCCTCGAGAAGGAAGACGAGGTCGCTCCGCGGCCAATGGCAGCGACGGTCGTCGATACGGCCAAGAGCCTCGGCCACTACTTGGAGACCAAGTGCAACATGGAGTCGCTGTACCTTCCGTCCAAGGAGGCGCCGCTGCGCTGCCGCATCTACGCGTCCAAGCACTATACGCAGATGGAGAAGCTCCTCGTCTTCATTGGCGACTCGGGCTCGCTGGGGGCGTGGAAGCACGCCGAGTCGCACGCCGCCGACGACATGGACCACCCGTTCTCGATGCGCTCGTACATTGAGCGTGCGCTCCACGACGGCTACGGCGTCCTCGTCTGCAATCCGTTTCTCAACGCGGCGATCGTGTACGAAGACCACGGCCAGTCGCGTGCTGTGCCGATCCCGTACTCAGCCTCGCCCAACGAACACGTCGCGACGGTGTGGACCAACTTGATTTACTCGGCAGTCTCGTGCCCCGTGGACTTTGTCGTCGCGGGCGCCGGCGGCCTCACGCTCCTCAACTTGCTCGTGCAAAACGAAGAGACGACCGCCGAGCGCATTCGCCGCATCGCGCTCCTCCAGTCGACGCACACGGTCGACACGCACTTGAGTCTCGTCGTGCTGGAAACCCTCGGGCGCCGTGCGATCAACTGGGAGGGGGCGGTGGGCCTCCCTCTCTGCGGCCAAGTCGTCGGCTCCCAGAGCCGCGTCGGCTGCGTCTGCCTCTCGACGGGCTTCAAAGACGAGAGCAACGACGACGAAGCGGCACCCGAGACGCCGTATGCGCTGCCGCTCTCGTCGGCGCATGTGAAAGCGATGGAGTCGGCCATCTTTGCGTTCCTCTTGTCCAACCCGCCGGTGCCTGGCATGACGGCGATCGTCAAGGACATGCGTAGCACGCTTCGCAAGGGCAAAGGCGTCTTCGCGACCAAGTCGGCGAGAGCCGCGCTTCCCAAGCCGTCTCCGGAAGCTGCGACGCCGATGCGGGCCACGTCGTCTTCGTCGTCGGTGTCAACCGCGCCCTCGTCGGTCACGTCGTTCCAGCCCCGGGGCGCCGGCAACCCGGCGCTGGCTGGCATCTATGTCCCAGGCTCCAAGAGCAACAGCAGTATCTTTCAAGTCGTACAGGTGCGTTCTCTTTGCGTCGATGTGAATTGGCACTCAAGATTGCGATGCTAGAAACGTCACATGCAGGCCAAGGAGAGCACTCGGGGCGCGCCGATCAGCATCAAGGACTTTGAGCTGCTCAAGGTCGTCGGCCAAGGCGGTTTTGGCAAAGTGTTTCTTGGCAAGAAGATCGCGGGTGAAAACACGGGCGAGATCTACGCCATCAAGGTGCTCCAGAAGGACCAGGTACGAACCTCGAAGCAGCAGTTGGATGGTACAATAAGAACGTACTAGGTGCTCTCGAGCGGCCTCGTGCACACGACGATGGCCGAGCGGCACATTCTCATTGAGGTCGCGCACCCGTTCGTCGTCAAGCTCCACTACGCGTTCCAGTCGCAGTCCAAACTCTTCCTTGTCATGGACTACCTCAGCGCGGGCTCGCTCGCTGTCCATTTGCGCCGCGTCCGCAAGTTCCAAGAGAGCCACGCGCGCTTCTACGCGGCCGAAATCGCCGCTGCAATCGCGCATCTCCACCAGATCAACATCATTTACCGCGACGTCAAGCTCGAGAACGTGCTCATGGACCACGAAGGGCACGTGAGCATCGCCGACTTTGGTCTTTCCAAGCAAGGCGTCTCGGGCCTCAAGGGTGCCAAGACCTTTTGCGGCACGGCCGCCTACATTGCGCCCGAGCTCCTCAAGGGCCAGACGTACGGCAAGGCGGCCGATTGGTGGTCGTTTGGCATCCTTCTCTACGAAATGATCGGCGGCAAGCCGCCGTACTACCACCGCAACCGTGATATCATGTTCCAGACGATCCTCAAGCAGCAATGGGTGACGTTTACGGCCGGCTTCTCGGACGCGGCCGTCGACCTCATCCGCGGCCTCCTCAACCGCGACCCGCTCCATCGGCTCGGGAGCGGCCCTGCAGGGTCGGACGAAGTACTCATGCACCCGTTCTTCAACGAGTTTGATTGGGCGCAGCTGCTCCAGCGCAAGGTGACGCCGCCCTTTGACCCGCGCGTGAGCAAGACGGACACGGTGTTTGTCCCTCGGAACGTCAACCAGAATGCGGTCACGGCCCGCGACCGCACCGGCTCGATCCTCCAAAACCACGACGTCGGCGAGTTTCGCGGGTTTAGCTTCATCTCGCGACCCGACGACGACCTTCCATGAGCGTGTTGTAGACAGTATACTTTTTCCCCTTGGTCTAGTTCAACGGTGGCACTGTCCAGCAGGGTGTGGAGTCCACACCAAGGGTCCACACTGTGGACCCTTGGCACTACATATGTTTAGGGACCCTTGGTCCTAAACCACCTTGTTCAGATGTACTATCTGCGCAACGCAAATGGTGCAGCGTTATCGCGGCAGTGTGCGCTGAGGGAGCCTCCTACTAGTGCGAGAAACTTCATTCCAAGTGTCCAGAGACTACGATGTAGAAAAAAATGCTGTTGAAATTTGAAGCGTGGACCATGGAAAGCACGCGTTCGTGGGTGCACAGCTATCAAGCACAAACGAAGAAAGATTCAACTTGATATTACTAAGCATAGCGATCGATCATGAATGTTTGGTCGGGGGACGGCCCGAAGAGCACGTCGACCGGGGCGCTAATGAGGTATGGCCACGGGCTGTCGCTCTCGCTGTGGTACGGCGTCGGCTTGGGCGAGTACCCGTTGTGGTCGATGAGTGCCACCGTGCCGGGGCCCATCGGCCTGCAGCTCCAGCGACGATTGCTGAGGATCCAGCCAAACGCAGAGGTGATCACTGCTTCGTCCGGGAGCGCCGTCACGGTGCCGAAGAAGAACGAGGTCGCGTCTGGGTTGGGTGCCAAGTAGTGCGTGTCGCCCAATTTGAGCCAGAACGTGCCGTCGGGCTGAAGCGCAGCGTGCATGAGTGTCGGTACCTCTTCGTCGGTCTTGCCATTGCCGACGGACGAATCAAAGTTCCAGTACCCAAACTTCTTGTTGAAGAGCGTGAATTGATACCCCGACGTGAAGATGTCGCAGGCCGTCGGCGTCCGCGCATTGAGGCGCGCGTCCACATATCCGAGTGCGGAGAAGAGAGAGAAGAGCCCAAGCAGCTGCATGGTCGATTGCGTCGTCGTTGTCCAAAGCAAAATGAAGACGAACGAGCAAATGAACCACAACGATTGTGCGAGTGTACACGAGGTCGCTTTTCCCAACCTGCCTTTGCACGATCGATTCTCCGTGTGCGTCGCTTCTGCACATGCGTCTCGGTCGCTACGACAGAACGCATAGCAGCGCGTCGCGCCGACGCTTCATGGTGGCAACCAAGGCGAGAGTTCATGAATACCACGTGAGCGCTCAACACTAGCACATGCAAACGTGCAAGCTCAACCAGAGCGATGATGCATCGAAATGGACACGGTGCGAGGCGGCTCGACCCAACGCTGCCAATGTTGCTGCTGTACTTGTGCGTCTGCCGTCTCGCTGCCGGAGGGCTAGTGGAGCCGTAGCACAATCCGACTCGAGACCTCTGAATAGAAACGCAATAAAGACCGTTCGTATTCCAGCCATGTGGTCTCCGTGGCGATCCCTTTCATGTCAATTCACCAATCAGCATCGTCGGCGCACAAGAGGAGCCAATCCGATGGCGACGTGTTGGGCTGCAACCACCTTGCACTTTCTAATTTTCAATGGGCCGCGGCAACTCGGTGGCTGCGCCGCCCGCGCTCGTCGACGGCCTCCTCCTCGCCACGCTCTGCGCCGAGTGCGTCTCGCTCGTGTACATCCTCGAGCGCGACCTCCTCCTCACGCTGCTGGGCATGCTGCTCGTCGTCGCCGTCGCCATCTGTGTCGTCAAGGCCAGCTTTGGCGCCGGCGGCGCATGGTTCTCTCGCACGTTCCTCGCGCATCTTGGCGATCCGCTCAAGAAGCGCACGACGCTCAAAAAGTTCACCGAGCAGTCGTGGCAGCTCGCGATCCACGTCTCGATGACAGCGCTCGAGCTCGTCGTCGTCGCCGACAAGACGTGGTGGGCCGACACGCGCTCCAGTACGCCTCTCTCCATGGCCGCTCTTTTCGTGACACGGTTGCCCTAGTGTGGAACCCCGAAAGCGTCACGTGCGATTTCCCGACGCACGACTACTTGACCGAGCTGCTCTACATGGCGCAGCTGGTAGGAAGTCTCCGAGTCCTTCTTGGATTTTCGATTTGGGATGTTAGGCGATCTGGATCTACACGGCTTTTTCCTGCAAGTTTCTCGAAGAAATCCGAAAGGACTATGTCATTATGATGACGCACCACGTCGTCACGATTGCGCTCGTCTCGTGGAGCTATGCGCAAGGGTACCTTCCGATCGGGGTGCTCATCCTCCTCGTGCACGACGCGTCCGACATTCCCGTCGATCTCATGAAGATGGCCAACTACTTGAAGCTCGGCGGCGCCCGCGGGTTCTTCGTCACCGAGATCCTCTTCGCGATCGTGCTCAGTATGTGGTTCGTCGTGCGTCTCTACCTCTTCCCGACCAAACTCATCAACTCGGCGTTCTGGGAAAACCGTGAGGCGTGCATGGCGTCGCTCACGGACGCCCACGACCTTCGTATCCTGCGCTTTCCCGGCGTGCCCATGTGGTTTGGCTTCAACGCGCTCCTCCTCACGCTCCTTGCGCTTCACATTTGGTGGGGCTTCCTCCTCGTGCGACTCCTCGTGACCGTCATGACCAAGACGGCGCACGACACGGCCAAGGACGAGTACGAAGGCACGTCGTCCGACGATGACGACGCCAAGGACAAAACCGACTAGACAAGACGGTTGAAATGGCATTCACTGATGGCTTTGTGGTTTGCGCGCATCTCTGACGAGCGAGTGTTGGATCGCGCCGTCGAGAAAAAGGACACAGATGCATTGAGAAAGATGAGGTTGTGGCGACAGACTGCTGTCTGCAAGGGAAACGAGGTGCATTGAAGGCGGCTCCGTACATGGAAATCCACCGAAACGTGGGGGAAGGACAGTCGTCGGTGCTGCTACAGTCAATTGCTACTAAAGCAATGGAAGGTAAGAGCTTGGAATCGCTTCAGTGATATCGGGAAGAGGTCGATGACCCGATTCGTTGGCAGCTTCTGGAGATAGAGAATGTCGAGATAGAGACCATTGCTCTGGCAGAAGACGTCGCGACTGGGCACCGTGATTGTCTGACCATGTCTTATCGGCAGCTGGTCCAACATCGCTGGGCATGCCGAAGGGTCCATCAGTCGCAGAATGGGGTCGTCGGGTAGTAGCAGCAGGACATGGACGGCTTGCGGCTCGTGCGCCAAAGCAGCAGGTGTTACTGTAGCGCGCGGGGCTAAAGCTCGTGTTGGGTGAAACAAGTGGTTACGGTGGTGAGCGAGGGCTTCAAAGGCGCTCGTCTGAAGAGACGCGTACCATGAGCTCGGCTCAGAGTTGACTCAAAGTACTCGTCTGTGCGAAGGCGGGCGGTTGGTAAACTGCGATCGTCAACAAAACTCGATGACGAGACGAGGAATGCGTGTGGTGCTTGCTTCCTCCGTCGATGCATACGGTACCAAAGGCGTCCACACTTATGCGCTCGATGGCACCATTTCAAAGGATGCATTGAAGACGAAACTACATGTGTTGACTCCACCGTCGAACTACTCCATGGCCTCGTCTTCGTCCTCGTCGTCGAAGACGACCTTGGCCTTCTTTGTGCGCTTCGCCCGCGGCTTGCGGGGTGTTGCGCCAGCGGCCGGCTTTTTGCGCTTCTCGGCCGGCTTTTGGCTGTGGTACGACGCCTCGGCATCCTCTTCGTTCTACACCAAGAGACTGAAACTCAAACAACTGAGCCTCAGCACGCACCTCGTTGGCCCGGAGCGACTGGATCACGCGCTCGAGCTCGTCGACCGTCTCTTTGAGTTCGGGTTTGCAGAATTTCTTGCACTGCAATTCATCTGAGCCCCTCGGACAAGAGAAGACGAGCGAATTTACCTTGGCGACGATTTGCTCAAACGACTCGTACACCGTGTCGTCCTGGAGACACTGCTTGAAGACCTTCTTCTGCTCGAGAAGCTTCTTGATCGCCTTCTCGTTGAACGAGAGGTTCGAGAGGCAGAACGCGAGGTCCCGCCACTGGGCCTTCTCCGTCGTCGTCACAAACCGCTGGCACATCTTGTCGACGAGGCTTTCGTTTTGCTTGTCTTTCTGGATAAAGCCGATCAAAAACTTGGTGATTTCCCGGAACGACTCTTTTGAGAGGTCGCTAGACACAGAATTCCATCACGTCCGGCAACTCGCGTCGAGTTGCTACCTCGTCGAGAGTCGACCGATCGTGTCGGGCAGCATGTTGTAGATCGGGTTGTTCCCGCGCTTGGACAGCTCGTGGAAAAAGAGCTTGGCGAGATCCTTGATGCGCGCTTCGTCGTCGACCAAACAGAGCGCGATCTCGCTAATCTATCCCAATTGATAGTTTGATACTTGCACAAAAGAAAGAACAACGTACTTGGCCCTTGACCTTGACCATGTCGTTGAGGATCAAGTGCGTGAGCACCATGATCGTGTTCTTGCGCACGTTCGTATCGATGTCCCGCAGCCGCGCGTAAATGTGTGACGTCCACGGCTCGACGAGGTTCGGAAACCGGAACGAGAGGTCGCCGAGCGCGACCACAATGTTGCAGCGCACCTACCTCCCACGCATCAGCGACTTCATCTTGAACGTATCCACACGTACGGACGGCTGTTCCGACTCTTTGAGCTTGGTGAAGACGAGCGGGAGGTTCTTCTCGCAAAAGTCGGACGAGATGCACATAAATTTGCAGAGTGCGACGGTTGCCGTCTCCTTGATCATCTCGTCGTCAAAGCAGCCGTCTTCGTTGGCGACGAGCCGCACCAGAATCGGCCCGTACGCACCCAAGAGGTTCCTACGCACCCAGAGTATGAGGATGACCTCTGTATACCTTAAAAAGGAGGACCGTACGTGCCAACGATTTCGTGCTGCGTGAGTTCCTGCAGCATCTCTTCGTCGTGGGCCTCGATCTCGGCGGTCATGCCGAGTTCTTCTTCCATGCTCTGTTGCGGTTCGTCGGCCGACGGCTTGATCTTACTGCGGGCTTCCTTCACCGAGCTCGCGACTGACTCGACGTACACGGCCATGCGGATCGCGATGTGTCCCAAAAGGAACACAAACTTGGCGAGCTCCGTCGCGGTGCACGCAGCGCCCTCCATATCTTCGTCAGTTTTCGGAAAGATCATGGCCGACCACGTCGCAATGACGTCGCCGCACGGCTCCTCGGGGTACTGGCACACGTGGAAAAGCGCCTCGATCGCTTGCTGCGCCGCATCGAACCAGTCGGCGTTCGTGTCTTCGTTCGTCGTCAGAAACGCTTGGAGGCGCATGACGAGCTTGCCAATGTGGTCAATCATGTTGGCGCCGCCCGACTTGTCCTTGAGGTTCCAGCGCTGCAGCATCTGCGACGTCGCGCGCACGCACAGCCAGTTGTGCTCGGCCTGCACGCGCGGCCCGAGCCCGTGCTCGAGCAGCAAGAGAAGGCGCGTGTGGCGGTGCGTCGTTTTGGTCGTTGTCAGCATCGAGAGCAGCCAGATCGCGTGGCCAATCGTGTGGCACGACGACTCGGCGTTGCAGAGGTCCCAGAGCGCATTGATGACGCGCTCCGGAATCATGTGCTGCGCATGCAACACCGAGAGCAACTGCTCGAGACACGTTGAGTCGCTGACGGTGCAGCCGTCCAGTAGCGTCAGCAGCGTCTTGGCCGCCTCGGCCGGCGTCAGCTGGGTGTCCGTGTTGGGCACGAAGAAGAGCACCGACTGGAACGTCTTGAGGACCGCTTCTTGGATCGACGGGTCGGTGCGCCAGATGAGGATGAGCATGCCGCGGATGCCTCGCGTTGCTTGCTGGAACTTGAACGCGTGCGCCGCGTGAAAGAACGCGATCGCTTCGAGCACGTCCGAGCTCGTCGAGCTGCGCAAAAGCTGAATGAGAAGCGGGATCGCGATCTTCTCCATGATGTCGATAAACTCGAGCGCTTGCGCGTAAAAGTTGTAAATTTTCTTGAGCTTCTCGAGCTCGAGCTCCTTCTGCGTCTCCTTCTCTGCGATTTGGTCTTCGTTGAGATGGATGCCCGAGATGCGTCGCGTCATGGTCTCTTCGACGTCGTCCATCAAGACGGCTTGGAGACCTTTCATTTCGTCCGCGATCCGTGCCATGTGCTGGACGTAGTAGCTCCGGTCGAGCTTGCCTTCGAACGGGTTGTGCTCGAGGAGCGACGTGAGCAGCTGCATGCTGTTTTGCGCACGGTCGCCGTCTTGTCGCTCATGCGCGCGACCACGAGCTTGGTGAGCGCCGGCTTTTGCAACAGAGGCACCGCATCGCGCTCGACGAGGTCCTTGAAACACTTGAGCACGTGGCTGCGAGCGAACGAGTTGACGTCGTGGACGCGGTCTTCCAGCACCGCGAAGAGCGAGTCGCGCCGGTTCTTGGAGAGGACGCGAAACTTGTCGTCGACGATGACGCGGCCTTCGTCATCCTCGTCGTCCTCGTCGTCGCTCGCATCGGGTTGCCCCTCGGACGTCGCGGACGCGAGTCGCTCCGCCTTCTTCTTTGCTAGCCGGTCGGCGACGAGGATGTTGGTGACGGCCGAGACGACAGCGTTTCGGAGGTAGTACGACTCGGCGTCCAAGAGCGGGAGCACGATTGACAAATTGGCGAGGACCACGGACGGCATGAGCTTGGAAAGGTGCGTCTAGGGGCAAAGCACGTTCGGCGCATGTTCGCCACACGATCCACGAACGTACGAAAAAGCCGACACGTTCTTGGTGCCCGAGACATCGCGCGACGATTCCCGCTGGCGGATTTTGGCGATTTCACTAGCCATACCGTGTCCACTTGATAATTGTGTGATACAGACACGTCGCATACTTGATGAGATCGGCGGCGATTTTGGCGTTCGAATGCTTGCCTTGGAGGAACTGGATCAAGTCGCCGAGCGGCACCGAGAGGTGCTCGTGCGCAAAGATGAGCTCGAGGAGCGACGTCGTGACCGTCACGTGAACGCTGGGCACGCGCAAGAGACACTCGGACACAAGCTACACCAACGTGGACATGTTGTGCATCATACTACAGCCTCAATACGTACGTTGTAGCAGTGAAACTTGAGGGGCTTGGACCGCATGAAGAGGGGGCTCTCGAGGAGCTGGAAGACGGCCGTGCAGTAGACGCCAATGAATTCCTACCGCCTTCGTTGGGAAAAGAGACAGCTAAAAGCGCGTTGACCTCTTCGGGCAATCGCATGTTCCAGAGCGCGAGGGTCTCGTCGCAGAGCGACTTTTGCAGCGTCTCGACGCTGTTCTCAAACTGCTTGGCCCAGTGCACCATCTTGGACTTGGCCGCCTACACGATCTCCAGCGGCGGCGATACCAACCATCGCGCCTACCTTGTCCTTCTTGTGCACAATATCTTTATCGTGCTCGGCCGTGAGCTTGGAGATCTTCATGAGCAGCTGGCACAAGACGTAGGCGGCAATCTTGAGGGCGTTCCGTGCGCGGCGAGAGTCTACAAGCATGTTCCGCATGCGCATCAACCCCCCACCACGATTGCCTACTCTCTTTTTTGGAGCGCCGAAGGAGCTTGACAATGTCGCTGAGCGCCGAGTTGGTCAACAGCAGCAGCAGGAGCCGCGCTTCGTCGTTGAGGTGCTTGACCGCTCTAGAAAATGCATGTGTTGATGACCCTATCCAGGAACGTAGGGCTCCGTACTTGAGGAAGCTGTAGAGGACGTCAAAGGCCTCGGCGTCGGCAATGCCCAGTGGGTTGGCGTGGATCGTTCGCTGCAGCTCTATGCACGCAGGTCGTTGAATCGCCATGGCCATCCGACGTCGTCGTTGTACCCTTGAGCTGGGTCATGTGCACGGTCTTGTGGAGCTCGGCAAAGTCGGTCACGCTGCTGACGTAGATGCGGTCGCGCTTGACGAGCTCAAGGTCGTCCACGTGCAGCGGGACGATGAACTCGCGGATCTCGTCCTCGTCCTCGGACAGCATATCGTCGGCAGCATACTCGGCCTCGTCGTCGCTCATGGCGCTGGCTAATGGACGCCCCAAAATTGCTCTTTTGAATTTTTAAAAACTCGTATCCGGACAACCCTGTGTTTCAGCCAATAATACACGTGTATTTTTTGCCTCCACATCCGGAAACAATCCCCGATCTTGACGCTCCGATGTCCCAACCTCGCCGTGGCCATGCTTGCTCGTCCACAAGGCTGCTGGTGACTGCGCATATGACAGCGCGTGCATGGCGCTTCGCAGAGATATAGTGTATTGGCGCTGTTGCTGGCGGATCCAACGACTCGTATTGGCATGCTGGCCGTTGCGAGATTTGCAAGAGGCCCCTTGGAACGGCCATGCCAACCAAGCTCGTCCAAGCAAGGCCATACGTGCTGGCAAAGTCTTCCTGCTTCTTGTGGTAGCGACGATGGCGTCGGCCTGGCGAAGACGCAAATCGACACACAAGGCGTCCGGTCGTATTTACAGGACACCAAGATTGCATCAACTAGGCTGTCGCGAGGAACTTGACACCGTCGTTCTCGGGCGTGTCGCCATGAATGATGGCCGCCTACACGCAACATTGGGTGTTGATGCATATGGCCAGCACGACGACGACGACCTTGGCTTCGTGCTCGAGGACTTCAAGCGCTTTCCGGAGGAGCCACACTTCAATGCCGTAAAAGCCTACAGAGACGCTCCGATATGGATGCGAGATAGGGTACACGTACTGGCGCCTTGCGTCTCGTCGCCCGCGTGCAGCTCGTACAGCGTGTAGACGTTGTTGAGCATGCCATTGTCCTGGGCCTAGTACCGAGATGAGCCTTAGGCAGCGATGATGCATGAGAGTACAAAGGCATAGATCTCGGCGGCCCACTCGGCGGGCGACTTCCAAAAGATGCGGCAGCGCGTGTGTGTGTCGTCCTCCCACTCGCCGTTGCCGCAGCGCACAATGTAGCTCACGACGGCGTGGCGTGCTTCCATCGAGAGCTTGCCTAGAGACGTCATCCATGAGCCGGCTGCAGCATGTTGCGCGTACGGTCGATGTGTGTGTTTTCAAAGATCGGCGTCGTGTTGGGCGTGAAGATGGGCTGCTGCAGCGCGCGGTGGTACTCGACGACGAGCGACTTCCAGAGGATGAGCTGCTTCTCCCGCGTCGACCGGATCGGCTGCAGCCTACGGTCGCCCATGAGCTATCGCCTCGTCCGTCGGCGGCGTGCGTGAAGAAGGGCGGGAAGTGGTAGTGCTCGGGGAACTCAAAGCCTGCCGGCGTCATCGTGGCAAAGCTTTCTGGCAAGTCTGCGACCTGAGTTTCGGACGCGGTCGTCTCATTTCGGATAATGCCGAATCCAAGTGTCCCGGCATGTGTTTCCGGTAGGCAAGATCCGAAAGCCACCGCACCGGTTCGCAAGAAGATATTGCGATGGCGCCGTCGACGTGCTTTGAGTTTCCGTTGCTCAAGGACGAGGTCACGACGATCGTCCAGGACGCAGTGCTGAGCTCGCTCGAGGGCAAGGCGTACGACCAGGCCAAGGTGCGAGCCTTCGCCGCCGGCGCCGCCATGCCATCGCCCATGCATAGGTCAACGACTGGATCAACACGATCACCGCGTCCTGCATTGACGATCTCAAGCGGCTCTGCCAGGTGCGCTGTCGCACGAGGATGCCAGCTGCATGAATCGTAGAACTTCAAGTACATTGCGACGTGCTCCATCAAGCAAAAGAAGGGCGGTGGCCTCGACGTCGAGAGGTGCGTCGCTCTTGCATCTCGCTCCTCGCTGACGGCACGCTGCGTAGTGCGTGCTACTGGGACGAAAAGTCGGACGGTACGCAGAACCGCGGCTCTGACGTTGGTCCTTGACGCATAAGTGCTTAGGCGCGTGCTTTGTGACATGGGAGAACAGCTCCATGCAAGTTGTCATTAGCATTTATGGGATCGCCATTTAGAATACTATCGTCACAGCGTTGATATTCAAAAGAAAGATGCGATCACACGTCGAGCGGCCGGAACGGCATGCGCACACCGTAGTTGCCGGCTTGGCCCATCGTCTTCATCGTATGGCCGCCGTCGTAGAGGACGTCATTGGTCGCACTCCACAGCATGGCGCCTGCATCCCTTTCATGAGCCCCCGCTCTATCCTCTCTCGCAGTCTACCTTTGTACAGTGCAGAGCCGTTGTACGCGTTCTTGTACGATTGGCCCGGCGGCGGCACGGGCTCGACGCACCCGAGGCTGCTGCAGGCGCCAATGATGAGCTTGTCAGCGCCAATCGCGGGCACCCAGTTTTGCGGAATGCGGCGACTCAACATCGCCTCGTACCCGTCCTAGCATAGTGTATCGCTGGTATCCACTACGGACAAGAAAGAACCAAGTACCGTGGACGGGATGTTGTACAACATGATGTTGACCCAGTCGAGGAGCGGCGTGAATTTCTCGTCGTAACAGCGGAACCAGCCGCCGTCCGAGACGAGGCTGCAGCCGACATACCCGCCCTCTTGGCCGTCCAAGCTCGTCGGAAACTCATCCCACGTCAGCAAATAGCGCGGCTCATCCGGGGCCTGCATCGCGTCCAAGCCTGCACATGCAATATGCAAACCAGGCGGCCAGATATGGTCATGCATACCATTGCGCAGCGCCACGAGGTACTTGTACACGACAGGGGCCTGCGTCTCCTTCCATTTAAAGTTGGCTTGCGGCTGGTTCCCGCTCTCATCGTCCATGTCGATGCCATCAAAGTCAAACCTACCGCCAATATCATGATGACGCGGCGGGGTCTTGAGTGACGACGAACTTTTTGACGACCGAGAGCGACGTGCGTGTAAAGAGATCGAACGCCTTCTCGTCGCGTAGGGCGTAGAACGAGTCGCGGCTCTCGGCGCCGCCAATACTGATGAGCTGCTTGATGCAGCGCCTACAGCGATATCAGCCACGTCCAGTTGGCTCACAGAAGGTGCGTACATGCGCAATTCGGCCATGCAATTCAAGATCGCTTCGTCGTTCCAAACTGCAGCGACTGCGAGACTTCGCCCGTCATGCTCAGCGTCGCAAACGCCCAGTAGACGTGCGTCACATACTTGGTGTTGACTTCTTCCACGAGCTAGTACGCATGCGACCATGACAACACAGACCATACAAGCACAGCTCGTACGCGGGCGCAGTCCTTCTGACTCTCCCAAAAGACGGCAAAGACGCGGTCGTGGGGCGTTGTCGCAGGGCACAGTTGGCAGTCGTCGTGCAGCGGGTCCTGCGCGAGATATATATGAGCCTGTTTGAGAAAGAGACTGCGTGCGTACATAGTACTCGTGGCGCTTGCAGCGGCGGAGCTTGCGCGTGAGCTCGCGCCACGGCACCTCGCGCTCGACAGCGCGGCATTGCTCACCAAGGATGTTGTTGTCGCGGTACGTGACCTCGGACATGTTCAGGTCGACGCAGTTGTCGGTGACGACGATCGACACGAAGTACGCTACGGCGCCCATGATGGCCACTACATACATCGACGCATGAGCGAGATCCAAGCGAGTCGGCGCGTCGTACGGCCGGGCAGAAGCGGCCACAAGTGGCGCACCGTCGGCTTGAACGGCGCGGGGTCTTCGAGCATCGTGCTTCCTTCCGCGAGCACCGGGCACGAACCAATGAGCTCGGCGGTGGTGAGGCGGCCGTACGTTGGCGTGCCGCCTTGCGACGACGACGACGAAATGGGATTCAGGCCGCTCGCCATTCCGTTCTGGTTGCCGATCGATTCTTATTGGCGTGACGGCCGACCCGAGGTACAGTGCAGTAAACCATCTGTGAGTCACACGTCGGCAACAGCTTTCAACGCCTCAACGCACCGCCAACGCTAGCCACCTTACCACCGAACCACCACCTACGGTACCACCAAGAGCGGTCAGGCCTATAGCCTTCTCGACGCCGGCGCCCACCGAGCGAGAGACCGCAGCGCGAGCCTGTGCCGATCATCGTCGCACGACTGGCGATCGACCCGAACCGACTCGGCTTGAATTCGCTTATATAGTATCTAACTGCAAGCTTGCCCATGGACCATTGCATGACTGTACCGTTGAACGAGGCTCTTGTACAATGTAAACGAACGCAAGATGATACATAGCTCACGTGAAAAGCGACGCGATAGATGACTTGTACTTCTTTGGGAGGACGCTGCATCCTCGACACGGGAGGCATTGCCAGGGTGGAATGGATCTGTACTTATCTTGGCGAATGCGGGGCCAGCAGGTGGCCAGAAATTTGGAGGACGACGATGTGATTGGCTCAAATGTTTTTCCAACTCGCACCAGCAAGCGCTGGACCGATGTCGCATGGGCAATATCTTCCATAGTCCTCGCCGCCAACGGTGTACAATAATGTCAATAATCTAGGTGGCAATCGGCCGATAAGGCATGCGTACGCCGTAGTTGCCAGCACGCCCCATGGCCTCAGTCGTATGGCCCTTGTCGAAAAGCAGATCGGTCGTGCCACTCCACAGCATCGTGCCTAGTCCCGAGTCGTCAGCATAAAGATGTTGCCATTTTGCATACCTTTGTACAGTGCCGAGCCATTGTACGCATTCTTGTAGGCTTGGCCGGGCGGCGGCACGGGCTCGACGCACCCGAGGCTGCTGCACGCACCGAGCAAGAGCTTGTCGGCTCCAATCGCGGGGACCCAGTACTTTGGGATGCGGTGGTTCATCATCTCGTCATAGTCGCCCTACCCACGCTCTATCGGCCCGTCGCATGCAGGAGACGAGCACGTACGTTGGACGGCATGTTGTAAAACATGATGTTGACCCAGTCGACGAGGTCCTTGAGCTGGGGGGGAATGCAGCGCCGCCACCCGCCCGCATAGACCTGCGCACAACCCGCGTAGCCGGGCGCTGGCTGGTCAAACGACGACGGAAACTCGTCCCACGTGAGCAGGTACTTGGGTTCGTTTGGCTTCCGGATCGCCTCCATGCCTATAGCGTCGTCGTCGTCGTCCATCGTTCTAGCACTGCATTTGGTATACCGTCACGGAGGCCTTCGAGGTACTTGAGCACGGTCGGGCTTTGGTTCTTGAGCCAGTCGTCGCGAGCCTCCTTGGCGTTGCCCGTCTCGTCGTCCATATCGATGCCATCAAAGTCAAACCTACGTGCGCCGTTGTCGGTTGTCTGTGTTTTGGTGCTTTTGATCTACTTTTCACCACGTCGATGGACGATTTGAGGAAGCGATCGAGCGCCTTCGGGTCTTGCAGCGAAAGAACGAGTTGCGCGAGTCGGCGCCGCCAATACTGATGAGTTGCTTGATGCAGCGCCTAGCAAGCTAGGATGCGGAATGCCAGTCGAATCGCGTCCGTACATGCGAAGCTGGGCCATGCAGTGCTTGATAGCATCGTCGTTCCAGAACTGGAGGGACTGCGCGACATGGCCCTCTTCGTCGACAGTGGCAAAGGCCCAGTAGACGTGCGTGACGTAGCGCGTGCTCGGGTCGTTGACGAGCTACGTCTCGGTCCATATGCATCGTCACGAGCATCAAGAGCGTACCAATGCGCAGTCCTTCTGGGTCTCCCAGAAGACGGCAAAGACGCGGTCGTGGGGCGTCGGCGCGGGGCACAGTTGGCAGTCGTCGTGCATCGGGTCCTACGTCATCGACTCCAGTGATCGCACCGCCACCGGAATGCTTGAACGGACTTACATAGTACTCGTGCCGATGGCATTTGCGCACTTTGCGCTCCAGTTCGCGCCACGGGATCTCGTGGTGCACGGCCGAGCAGCTCTCGCCAAGGACGTTCTCCTCTGTGTACGCGCTCGAGTGCAGCGGCTCGTCGAGACAGTAGGTTTGGACGAGGCCTGCAAAGCCGTAGCTGACACCGGCGAGCATCGCGACTAATAGACAGTCAATGTCGAATAGCGTGGGCGAAGAGAGACGCACGGCCGAGAAGCAAGGGCCACGCGTGGCGGTACGAGGCCTGGAACGGCTTCTCCTCGAGCATCGGCTTGGCTTCCGACAGAATCGGGATCGACCGCCGCGACAGTGGTGTCGACGACATGGATGGGTTGGTCGACGCCATGCGATTAAACGAAATGGCTGCAGAGGCAGCTCTTGCAGGAAGAGACAGATGGGCACTTCGTGAGCGCAGACAGCCCATGCAAGCGATTGTCGACATGATGAGGTGACTGAGTCGGATAATACGCGTTGGGTTGGGTTCGAGATCCCATACGCGAGCTCCCGCTACAGCAAGCCATACTGTGTTGGGTGAGGACTCGCAGGATGACAAATTCCCACGTCACTCGAGAGCCCGCCGCTGCGCATTTTTATTTGGCCCCTGCGAGGCAGGTGCCGCGTCAGCTCTCAACACCTGGCACGAACTCATTCCACCCAACTGCATTACACCACGTGCAGTATCGCGCGAGGCGCGCGATGAAGCCGCTGATGAAGCCCAGAGTACATTCAAGCAGACGAAACGGGATGAGCGGAGCTCTTGGGCGTCTTCGCAACTCACCGACGAAGGGGCATGCGCAAGCATGTCCAACAACCAGAGACGTTGTCATTTGTGTTTGTCACTCGCTGACCTTTCTAGCCGACAGGCGGGCGTTCCCGCCATATACTTCTCCTAGTCGACAGCTTGGGCAGCACAGCAGTGTGTGTCGAAGTCGTCGCCGCACGAAGTAAAGCAGTGCTGTGAGGGAGCGTCCCCTTCACTTCTGTCCGAATTGATCATCACACGGGTCATTTGCTGAGCTCGTAAGAGTTTTCCATTGCCTCGAATCAAACTCAATCTCAACGGAGCATTGAATCCCGTCGACGCGCGCAACACGACTCAGGTTTGATAGACTGTCATAGTGTACTCGTCTACTGCAAACTTGGGCGGCGCAGTTGTCCGTGACGTCGTATAAAAGCATCGCGGAGATCGTTCATGTCCATGACGCCCGTATCAGGCGTCGATTGCTGCCTTTGCGCCCGGAGCTTCTTCGCGCTGCAGCCGCCGAATCTACGGTCGCAAGACCGCGCTGCCTTGTGCTTCTTCGTTGAAGGGGCACAGCGCGGGCAGAACAGAATGCTTTGCAAGCTGCTACACCATCGTGTGCTTGTGCCGTCTTGAGACTCGATGCCATCGGTTCGATATCAAAATCCCGCGTGTACCAGTGTATGGCAGCGTGACCAGGTAGACGACGCCGATGACTTGGACGGGTACGTCGGCGACCCATCTTCATATGAGTATGGGGCGTACATCGCCCTGAAGACGGCGTTGAAGCTGCGAACAAGAAGATCGTTGCACCCGCTTGCCGCTTCTATTGTGCCACGTAGTTGAAGTCGTGGCGCGAGGCTACTCGGATTTAAATTTTATCAGCTGTGACCCAAAGCGATACGATCTCTCCAGAAAGTCGAACATTCCTGCATGTCAGTAGGCACGGCACCCCTCTCGACTCGGCCTCATGGCACCTCGGCAAGCTGTGCATGTGATTCGACTTCCCTGCCACGCGCACGCTCCACTTGAATGGCTCGCACGCGCCAAATCCCATCAAGCGGTTGTGATGTCGAATCTGGATGCAATTGCATACGAAACCACAATTTAGTAGACTGGATTCTGGTCACCTCTCAGACTCTGTGGCGCTCTCCAGAACATGCATTGGACTAACAACGCGCCGCGGGCACGGCCGTGTGCTGCTCCATCGACAGCGCAGCAGGCGATGCCACGTGCGACGGTCATGGGAAGTTCCGCGTGCGAGGTCGGTGTCGTATCCGGATGTCCGGATACAACCGTGACACGGGAGCATCATGGCATCGCTTCATTCCGGTTTTTCGTTTCCAAATCTTTCATGACGCAGGACAACCTCCGCGAGGTGCTGCAGGCGACGGGCGACGAGGTCGAGATCCTCCGCGCGCTCCTGCGCTGGAGCGAGCAGAAGGCGACGTCGACCTACTCGAGCGTCAAGCAGCACGAGTACCCGGTCGTGGGCACCCTCTTGACAGCGACCGAGTCGGTGGCCAAGCGCGTGAACGCGACCGGCTGGCTCGGATCGCTCTACGGCTACGTCGACCCGGTCGCGGCCAAGATTGACCAGACGCTGAGCCGCCACGTGCTTAGCACCCTTAGCCTCCTTCTGCAAGCCAACGAGCCATCGTCGCCGACGACCAAGTCGCGGTCAATCCACGTAGTGCCGCGAGGAGTGCCCGTGACGGCGCCCGTCGCGGACGAGGTCACAAAGGAGCTGCAGCTCGAACTCGAGACACTGCGATCGGTCTTGCGCATGATCCGCCAAGAAAACCAAGGGCTACGCCACCTCGAGATGGAGCTCGAGGTCCTTCGATCGACCTTGCAGCGCTTCCATGACGAGAATGAAGAGCTGCTCCAAGCCAACACGGCAGCCAAGATCAAGACCCGCCACCTCGAGTCTGAAATTGAGACGCTTCAAGCGGCTGTGGCGGCCGCCCGCGCCGACGCGACAGCAGCGGCGAACGAGACAAGCGAGGCCAAGGCCCGCGCCAAGGCCCTCGAAGCCGATGTCGACGCACTCCGCGCGTCCCTCGAGTCGCTTCGACAAACCAACGCAACGCTCCAGCAGGAACTCATCGACGTGCACACGTATCGCGCGTCCAAAGATGGGCAGACCGTCGCCGACCTCGAGGCGCTCCTTGCCGAGAGCAACGTTCAGAATGCATTACTGGAAGCAGAAAACAAGCAGCTCAAGGTCGCGCGCGCCCGCGGCTCGTCAGGCGCTCAGAAGCAAAAGCACTTGGCTCGGACGCAGAGCATGAATATGACTGGCCTCTAGCATCGTCGTGAGCTGCTCCATCGCATCCTTTCCGTTCGAGAGCGCCGCCGCCAGAACATCGGCCTTGGACTCGTCCATGGTCAGCACGGTCACCGCGTCACTCGACCTAGTTGCATGTTTTGATTCGTAACTCGACCCTTTCTCTTCTCTGGATACCCGCGCAGGTAGGCCATGGGCTTGGCCGTGTACGGACGGAAGAGGCCGACGACCGTTTGCACGTCGACAACGAGCTGGGCGCGGCCGGGCGCGGAGATTTTCTACCAAAACTCGACACTGGCTGCAAGCGACCAAGCCCTTGCGAGTACCTTGTGGTGCAAAATGCTGTTGAGGAGATACTTGTCGAGCTCGGTCGCGACGTGTTTCCAGTACGCCTGGAAGAGCGTCGACGAGAGCGCGGTCTGGGCTTGCGCCTAGTGCAACCGCATCGACTTGGTGCTCTTGCTCCTGCGCTACATACCAAGTGCTGTGTGAGCAGCTGCAAGCCGTCGCGGAGCTCGCTCGATACGTCCGGTACAATGTACTCGGGTGCTGTGGCCATTGTCCACATGGGACTACAGTGTGCTTTCAGAGACAACGCTGCTACTCGGCGACTACCTGGCACGGTAGCGTGTTTCCCACGCGCCGACGATGGCCGTCACGGACGCGTTCAAGAGGTCGGCCTCAAGCGCCCCCACGAGCGTCCGGAAGAGCGTGATTTCGTTTTCAAACATGGAGCCTTCGAGCACCAGATCGTCCTCATTATTGCCATCGGCATGGTCGGTGGCCGTCTCGGGCGGCGTCATCGCGTCCGGAGCAGCCTTGAGCGAGTGCCACACACTCTAGAAGAACCACATCAGATCCTAGCGAAGCGTGCGCATTGCGTACTGAGCCGACGGAGAAAGCCGCCGAGAGCGCGGCCGTCGGCACAATGAGCGACGCTGGCCCCAAGAGCGCGTTGGTCACGACTTGAGCTTCTTCGCGCTTGAGAAGCGGGTTGAGATGCGCGAGCCCTTGGACGCGCGGGAGGCGCAACGCAGGGCGCTGGATCTTGGTCGCTTTCGCCATCTGCAAGAGCTCGACGAAGAGCGCCGTCTCGTCCCACTCGGTGAGCACGAGCCGCACAAAGTGACAGCTGTTGACGGCGGCGCAATACCGATGCCACGTCGGGTCCTAATGCTTGCGTCAGCATGACAGATCCATTTGGTTTCAAAACAGGACGCACGGAGGGCGCGTGCAGGGCGGCGTAGATCTTTTGGGTCTTGGCATGCGTCGCAAGTTGCGTGTACGAGTGCTGCAAGAACGGCTTGAGCACTTGCACAACGTACGCGTAGCGATGCGCGGGGTCCGAGAGCCCTTGAAACCTGATCACGTCGTCGTCACGACAGGTCATCGAACCGCAACGTCGTCGTACCGGTGCTTGAGCGCATCCAGGCAAGAGGCGACAGCGTACGCGGCGTTGGTGACGCGGAGATCGTCATCACTTGCAGTTAGCACGAGGTCCCACGCCGTCGCGTCTTGGAGGTACGTCGTGAGGAACGACTGCGCGTACTCGCGGTCCATCAGCGTCCAGAGGCCAAACACTTTGGGCGATTGCGCGACGAGGTCGAGGACAGTCGGGACCCGCGCGCGCTTCAAGTGCTGGTGCGGCTGGACGGCCACGTAGCCATAGTCGTCGCGCAGCGTCTGAGACAGAAGCGATCAGTCGGCAGCTGTGCCGCATGCACGCCAACCTTTTCGAACGCAACGATTTCATCGATCGCGTGGCACAGCAGCGGCTTGCTCTAGCAGCACGTAGTTAGGTCATCACCTCTTCGTACGCGCGATACCTCCACCACGAGCGGCAGCAGCGCCGAGACCTTGTGCCGCAGTGGCACCAAAAGACCTTGGACGAAGAGCGACTACACGCAAATGGCGTCAGCGCACGCAAGAAAAACGAGGCGACCATCGCGTCCAGCGAGTGCTTCTTGTCGGGCATCGACGCCGTCGCGTCACGCAGCGCCGGCGCCACGCACGTTTGTACAAAGGCGTAGTGTCCACTATCGCACCACGCGTGAGGTGCCATCATAGAGGAATCGCTCGTACTGAAGGGTCTCGAGGATGTATGTGAAGAACCACTCGGGCTTGGTCACGTCGTTGGTCTTTTGCTGCGTGTCAAAGTGATACCGAAAGCGACGCACAAGGGGCGAGAGGAGGCACTCCATGGCCCACAGGTCAAGACCCTACGGCGAATATGCATGCGTGAGCCATGCGCATTGACGCGAAATCGGTCACCGTCGCCGAGCTGTCGCCGATGGCCACGGACGCCAGCGAAAGCTGCAACTGCACAAGGCGGGCAAACGTGGCGCGAAAAGCTTCGCACGTGTCGGCCTACGTCGGGATTGAGTGTTTTGAACGGCCTGGAATCGGTACAACCATCGCCTCGCGCTCGGCGTCGCTCAGCGGACGCGGCCAGTCGAGGTCGCGCAAGAGGCTCTCGAGCTGCTGGACGTGGCAGGCTTGAAACGCGTGCGCCAAGTACGCCATGCGATCTGTAATGAGTTTCTACACAGTGGTGAGCACAAGACACAAAAGAGATCGAACGTACACGCAACTTCAAGTGCAAACTGGTCTCGAGACCAAAGAGCGTCGGCAGTTTGGCGTTGATGGCAGCGAGCGCCACGAGCGAGTCAATGTCGCCTACAATTCGATCACACACTGGCGATGCTGGTGTCGAGAGTACCGTCGGTGGTGTCCTTGGCGCGAGTGCTAATGGTCTCGACCTCGAGGAGCACGTTGAGGTACTCGACGTGGCGCTGCAAATGCACCAAGCGGCTCTTTTGAGGCGCAATGAGCGCGCAGAGATCGCCCGCATAGGCTTGCAACTCGCTCAATTCGGCATCGATGGCAGCGGCAGAGTCGGCCGCTTCGTGCATGTGCGCGTGCTGCTGCGCGATGTGGTGCTCCTCCTTCGCCTGCAGAGCGGGCAGCGCGCTTTCGATGGCGAGCTTCTCTGCGAGAAGGGCGGCCATCGCCTCCTTGGCAGTGGCCAGTAGCGCGGTCACTTGGCCCTTCTCGTAGACCTGCATCGACTCGAGCTCGGCCTCGCATTCCTGTAGGCGATCCTCCGCCGGCGCCTCCGTCATCTCGGTGTTCGACGCGTTGCCACTTGGTGAGTACTTTTGGCCAATCAGCGTCGGCATTTCGTTTTCGGATAAACCTTGTATACTCTATATAAAATCAGTTCACACAGTATCTGCATGATACCATGATATAGTGTGAAAAAAGTTTACGCTTCTAGTGTTAATACGTCCGATGTCTCTAGCTGTCGGTAGAGCAAGGGTTGCTCACCATCAACGCCGCTGATACTGCACGTGTCAATGCCGCTACGTCAAGTGTTTCATGCGGCGCTAATGCCGCAGTCGTACAAGTGCAGGAGCGGTGGCTGCGTCATATATAACATTATAAAAGTCCCAGACTATATTGGTGCGCGGGACAAAAGGTGTGGAGCGGCCATACCCAATTGAAGCCGACGACGATGATGCTCCTGCGACGCACGCTTCGCCGTCCCTTTGGCGCCCGCGCCATGGCCTCCTTGGTGAGCATGAACGTCAATGGCAATGCATGCCATGCCACGATCGAGAAGGCTGGCGATGACAAGAAGGTGCTCCTGTGCCTGCCCGGCGCGTTGGGTACGCGACTGCGTGCATGCTCCTCCTTGCTGATGCGTGTCTAGGCACGGGCGCGACCGACTTTGGCCCGCAGCTCGAAGCGTTCAAGAACGACTACTCGGTCGTGGCGTTCCACCCGGACATGGCGCACAATGCGTCCGAGGACTTTCTTGAAAAGCACGCGCACGACGCCGCCGCCTTCATGAAGGGCCTTGGCTACGACAAGGTAGTCGCGTCCGTGACGCCTCCATGGCATCTCATGGCCGCGTGTAGTACTCTGTCGTGGGCTGGAGCGACGGCGCGAACGCTGGCGTGATTCTGGCTGCCGAGTACCCCGAGCACCTCGAGCGCCTCGTGCTCATGGGCGGCAACGTACGGCGACGACGAAGCGGAGGACTACGATTCATGTGCTGTGCAGGCTTTTATCACGGACGAAGACATCGACATGTACGCTGCAGTGGCCGACGTCGCGTCGTGGGGCGCCACGCACCGCACCAAGCTCGCCGACGTCCACGGTAGCATCGCCAATTTGCAAGCGCGCTGGACCGGTAGCTCTTCTTGTGCGATGCAAGTCGCCAGCTGACGCACGTTGGATGCTAGAGTGGATCCAGACCATGACGCGCATCAACGAGAACGGCGGCGACATCTGCACGTCGTACCTGCCGGACGTCAAGTGCAAGACGCTCGTGCTCCAAGGCGAACTCGTACCTATCGTCCTCTGCTACTAAGCGGCAACATGTTCTCTGCCCTAGGATGCGCTCGTGCCGGATTTTCAAGGCGAGTACATGAGCGAGCGCATTTTGCATTCGCGGCTCCAAGTGCTTCCTGGCGCCAAGCACAACGTGCATCTTGCTGCGCCGGACCTGGTCAACGCGATCATCAAGTCGTTCTTGCTCGAAGCCGACGACAGTGCGACCCACAGCCGCGAGTTTGCGGCCATGCCGCCCAAGGACCCCAAGGCGAAGAAGGAAGCGGTGCCCGTGTACCACAGCGGACCGCGGTGTTAAAAATTAAAGGAAAACCCGCTCGGTGTCGTCTCGGCGACCGCCTTCCACGGCGCTTTCGTCGTAAAGTCCACGTTCGCCTCCATGTCCCACTCGAACGGCGCGAAATGCAGCGGGTTCTCAAACTCGAGGAGGTGCTCGTCGTGGAGGAAGATGAGCCGGCGCGCGTGCTCGGCCAAGTGGCGGTCGTGGTCTTGCCGCATGCACTCGGATGTGCAGTACGTGCACGTCTTGCACAAGGTGCAGCGCCGAAGCAGCGTCGTCTGGCTCGAGTCGCAGCTCGAGCATGCCACAATGGCCAACTCGGACGATGTCGCCTTGCGGTCCCAGATCGTCACCTCGTGCGCCGTGTCCGTGTAGTTGGGCAGCGCAATGCGCTGAAGAAGCGTAAAGTGCTTCATGACGTCGCACTCGAATTGACGGTCGCCCGTCTCGCCGTACCACTCGCCAACTACGCGCAATGATGATGAGCATATACAATCATACAAAGTTGGCAAGGGTACTGTGGATAAGGTACCGGCCCTTGTAGTGGCGGAGTGCATCGCGCGCCAGCGACGACTGAGGCGGCGCGCACAGCAGCAGCGTGCGGCCCTTGAGCGGCTTGAGCTCGAGCACCTCGGCGCCGCCTTCGTATACCTTGGTGAACGGCGGCACGATGGCGTCGAGGGTTTCAATGACCTCGTCGTCGTCGACGTCGATAGGCGCCATGTCCGTCGACCACTTGAGCTTGGACTGCTTGTCGAACGGAAGGATGTCGGCCTTCTGCTTGAGCAAGAGCGAGCTCCAGTAGCCAAGCCCGGCACCGATCTCGATGAGCGGCGAGTGTGCGGCGATGGCCTTGAGCGCGTCCGGGTGCGGGATCGCCGGCGCGTAGAGCTTGTCAAGCCACACACGCACGTTTTCGCGCCACTGCTGCAAAAGCGGGTACGCCGGCACCGACGCTTTCGGTTTGGCGACGACCTTGTGCTGGTTCATGCGCTGCTTCTTCGTCAAGCGCTTGTTGGCGTTGGTCGTCGAGCGGCCGAGGTCCGCAATGGCCTTGTCCATTTCGCCGCCCATGCCCATGCCTGGCTCGTAAAAGAGCTGGATGCCCTCACGCAAGCGGGCTTGGAGCATCTCAAAGAGCACGATCGGATCCTTATGGCGCTTGGAGATCTCGTACGGCGCATGGAAATCATCTGGAAGACCGTCGCGGAGGAGCTCGGTCGCAATGAAGACCTCGTAGTCGCGGTCCGACGATGCACCGTGCGTCGTGAGCAGCTGAAGGTACTCGTCCGGCGACGGCACGGCGCCGCAGCCACGACCATAGAGACACAGCGTCGTGTGGTAGATGCCAAAGTACATTTGGTCAAAGTAGCAAGCGAGCTTGATGCGCATCTCGGAGCGGCCACTCGCAGCGACCGCTTGCATTGCGGCCGTGATGAGCGCGTGCAGATCCGTGCTAAGCTTGGTCATGAGCGGGCGCTCCGCGGCAAACTCCTTGTCGTTCTGGTGCTTGATGAGGTGGTCCTTGAGGTGTTCATTCAAGGCGCTGGAGAGGAGATCGAGGCTCGCCTGCGTCCACGCGTGCGACCCGACGACCGAGCCGGCGAGCCGGCCGAGCACCACGATCGAGTGCATGAGCCCCATGAGTACTTGTCCATGCAGGCCCTTGGCGTCGTCGTCGCGCTTGGTGAAGACGAGCGAGTGGAGGAAGACGCCGTGGTCGCACTTGTGGCATTGGTCGTGCTTCTTCTTGTCGACGCTGTACCCGCGGCAGTTGCAGCCCGGCGACTTGCACGGACCGACTTGGCACTGCTTGGGCAGGAGCTCGAGAAGGCCGGTCGCGTCCATCTTGGCGGGCTGCGCCACGACGGCCGACGACTTGCGCTTCGAGGACGGCTTGCGCTTGGCAATGTTCTTGGCGACGTCGTCGTCCATCTCGAGGCCGTACTCCATGGCGACGGCGGCGATCTCATCTTCGATGAACGCTATCTCGCTCGCGCCGAGGCCGACGCTCTTCTTGCGCTTCTTCTCGCGGTTGACCATCGCTTGGCTTGTGCTTTGGCGGGCTTGCGTGGCTTCAATTTTATTGGTTGGTGGTCTAAAGCGTGCAGTGACCGCGCGTTTTTACTGGATATTGGTATGCGATCAATTCAACATAGGCATTGTATCGGTTGCGTGACGCTGCTTTATCAACCGGTTGATAACCGGCTGCATCCCATGGCTGAACCACATGGCTTCATGCGGCAAATCGGTTCTCGTTAGAAGAAGGACGTGGGTCGCGACCATACAAAAGCCCATATACTTTGGCTCGCTTTTCCGTGCACACGGTGTATACTTTATCCAAGTTACATTGACCCGACACTGGAAAAGACAGTAAAATTACACACACCGGTGCAAAATTCTGCAAAGTTAAAAACAATCCCATGCAATACAAACACCAAGTGCATACAATCCAATTCAATCGTCCATTTCGTCAGAGTGGGATTTCGTGTGGCTCGTAAAATAAAAACGGTATTTTAAAATGTCAGAGCAATTGCCGAGCGTACCTGTAGGATCAAATATAAATCCAGGATAAAATGCACCCAGACGCTACTTGGTGTTTGTATGCGGTATACAAAACACGAGACGCTCGTATCTACCACGGGGCGCGTGCCATGTGTTTTTTTGCTACTTTTATTGTTGGCTACATTTGTGTAGAGAAAGGAAATGCTTTTTTATTATTTTATAGCGTCGCGACCGGTCCGACTCTACGGACTGCAATTATTCGGCAAATCCCGGCGCAAGCGGCAGGCCATCCCTCCTCTGTCCATGCCGAATCATGTCCACTTCTCCTTGCCTACGTGGCAGCGCGACGACGACGAGGGCACCGAGAGCCTGATCCACATCCCGCTCGCGGCCGACCGGCCGACACCCGTCTCGTCGTCCTTCAAGTCGTCGCCGCCCATCGAGCCACACCCGATGGTCGCGCACCGCTGGCGCAAGATCCAGCGCATCGTCAAGACGGTGCTGCTTGTTGTGGTCTTGGTCTGCGCCAGCGTCGGCCTCTACATGCGCTTCGCCGGGCACCCGACTGCGGTCGTGATGGACCCGGCACTCGACGAGGTGAATCTGCCCATCGACCGCGTCGGCGCCTTGTGGAAAGACGACTTTCAATGCCTTGGCTGGCGCGCGGTCGCCGGGTGCGACCCAACCGGCAAGCGCCACCCGACCGCCGACCGTGGTTGTGACGATGCAATCACGCGCGACATGGCCGGCTACTGCGAGGTGCGCAACCGCACGAGTGGCGAGATCTACCGCGTCATGGCCACGACGTGCCGGGGAATCCACGAGCACGGCTCGTTTACGTGCAACATGGCCAAGAACTTTACAGACTTTTCGATTTTGGCGGCCACGTACAAGCACGTGCCGGCGCTGCAGGTGGCGGCGACGCCCAAGCCGTCGCGAGGCATCGTCATGTCCATCTACCAAGAAGCGCTACCGAGCGTCTTTGCGATCGTGCGCACGCTGCGACTGCTCAAGTGCAAGCTGCCGGTGGAGCTCTTTTACCGTCCGTCCGAAGTGAGCCTCTCCAACCCAATCGTGACGGAGCTCATCTCGCACTACAACTGCCGGCTCCGCGAGATCCGCGACCCGCAAGCCGTGCGCTTCAAGACCAAGCCGTACGCGATCTACCACAGCCAGTTTGACCACGTCCTCTTCCTCGACTCGGACAACATTCCGGCGAAAGACCCGACGTACCTCTTCGAGTCGCGCGAGTTTGTAGAGCACGGTGCGGTCTTTTGGCCCGACTTTTGGCAGGCGCCGTACTCGCTCTTCAACGTCAACAAGCAGAGTCTCTTGTGGCAGCTGGTCGACATGCCGTTCTGGGACACGTTTGAGCAAGAGAGCGGCCAGCTCCTCATTGACCGCCGCCGGTCCGAAGACGCTCTGCACAAGCTCATGTTTTACTCGGTCGGCGACATTGCCGTAGGCGACATGCTCGAGCAGCTCCAGCTCGTGTGGGGCGACAAGGACCTCTTCCGCCTCGCGTGGCGCAACACGTCGACGCCGTACTACTTTGTAAAGCAACCGCCGGGCCTCGGCGGCATCTACGACGACAACTCGCGTTTCTTTTGCGGCGTCGCGATGATCCAGTACGACATGCAGGGCGAGATCCTCTTTGTGCACCGCAACACGGTGAAAATGACGGGCAGTCCGAGCCAGAGCCAGCTGATCACGCACCTCCAGCAGTTTACGTACCGCGACGGCAACACGCACATGTACCAAGTCGCGCTCCGTGGCAACCGGCTCGGCATGAAGAGCTGCTACTTTCTACCGGACGGTGTGCCCAGTGTCGTCGAAGGCCTCGAGAAGACGAGCATTAGCAAGGTCGAAGAGACGGCGCTGCAGTATGCGATCGAGGCCGGCAAGCTCATCGACTACGAAGACACCAAGTATTGGGGCTCGACCATGGAGTTCCTCGAGGTCCTCGCGCTCTACACGTTTTGCGCGTTCGCGCTCTGCTTCATTCTCAACTTTGCCTTCTTCCGCTTCTACTACGTCGAGAAGAAGCTCTACTGGTTCGATCGGTACTCGGGCAAGAAGCGCAAGTACTCGACGCCGATCGTCTAGCACACCCTTCTTGTTGACTAACTTATTTTGATAATACGCGCCTCCATTGTACACTTCGTATATATTGCGTTCGCGACATCGGCGAAGAGAGCAGACGCAACGGGGATATATGTTTCATCTCCTTGGGGCACGGTGGAGACCCCCGTAGCATCGTCCTTCTACCAGCTCCTCGTGCCCCTGACCAAGGGGTCCCTAGCCCTTGACAGCATCACGACGCGCGTTATCACAGTAGGAGGTCGACGTGACGTGTTCTCAGTGTCTGAGAACGCTTCGAACCCAACGTTGGACGACGTCGTCGAACAGGATGCGGGTGCGATCAGATTGCCCGTCCTCTTCCTTCTTCGAATTCGCTCGTTGCAACACAAAGTCGTCTCTACTGTCCCGTGGCCTCGTGACGTCGTGGCAACGTCGCAGCTCTCGTCACGCTTTGGCCACGTCATCGTCGTTGTGTGGCCGCAACGGGGGTGCCCTCAGAAAGGTATTACGATCCCTGCCATCGTACTACAAGGCCGCGTGACCGGTCGTCCTCTACGCCGTGCTAGGTCTCCGCAGTCGTGCTAGGTCTCCGCAGTCGTGGATCCGGCTTGACACATTGATAGTTGCCAGCTTTTGGCTCGTTCTCAGCCGCAGCCGTTGCGCGCGTTTGATTGGCGCGCTATTTTTAGACGCGACGTGGGGCGTGATCGCCATCTTATTTTGCGATGGAGCGGCGGTTGTCGCTGCCCATGGTCGCCCGCCGCGCACGCAAACGGTCCACGTCATCCGCGGCCGACGCGCTGACGCCGTGCGCGTCGACCGTGCTCCCGCGCCGCGTCTCACGCGGCCTATTGAGTCTCCTTGGCGTTTGCGCCTTTCTCGGCGTCTACCTCGGGCTCACGGCCTCGTCCGTCTCGGAGGAGACGCGCATGAGCCCGGGTCTGGACGACGTCATGCTGGACTTGAAAATGGACCGTGTCCGCGACGTGTGGACCGACGAGACCTTCCAGTGTCTCGGGTGGCGCGCCACCAGCGACTGCAATCCAAGCGGCCGGCGCGACCTGTCCGGTGACCGCAGCTGCGACACGGCCATCTCGTCGACCATGGCGGGCTACTGCGAAGTGCGCAACCGGTCGAGCGGCGCCACCTTTCACGTCATGGCGACCACGTGCCGCAGCATCGACGACGACGTCGTCTTCACTTGCAACATGGCGCGGGACTTTACCGACTTTAGCCTCCTCGCTGCCGCGTACAAGGAGCCGCCGCACATTGCGTTCGACATGCCCGCGTCGCCGCCGGCCAATGGCATCGTCATGTCTGTCTACGAAGACGTGCTGCCGAGCGCGTATGCCGTCGTGCGCACACTGCGGCGGCTCGGCTGCAAGCTTCACGTCGAGCTCTGGTACCGGCGCGAGCAGATCGACCCGCAGCACCCGCTGCTCCAAGAGCTCGTCGCGGCCTATCAGTGCACGCTGCGCGAGATTTTCGAGCCGACGGCGACGCATTTTCACACCAAGCCATATGCGATCTACTATAGTGCGTTCCAGAACGTGCTCTTCCTCGACTCGGACAACATCCCGGCGAAGGACCCGACGTACCTCTTCGAGTCGCGCGAGTTTGTCGAGCACGGCGCGGTGTTTTGGCCTGATTTTTGGCACCCGCGCAACACGCTCTTCAATTTGCAGCCGCAGAGTCTCTTGTGGCAAGCGCTCGACATGCCGTACATTGACATGATCGAGCAAGAATCCGGCCAGCTCCTCATCAACAAGGTCGCGTGCTTGCCCGCGCTGCGCAAACTCATGTTCTACTCGGGCCACGCACCTCGGCTCCTCGATGCGCTCGAGCTCGTCTGGGGCGACAAAGACTTGTACCGTCTCGCATGGCTCAACACGTCGACGCCGTTTTACATGCAACCGCGCCTCCCCGCGATCGGCGGGCTCTACGACCCGTCGTCCGGGTACTTTTGCGGTGTCGCCATGCTGCAGTTTGATGCGGCGGGCGACGTCGTCTTTGTGCACCGGAATACCGTCAAGCTCACGGGCCACGTCAGCGAGACACCCGTGCTATCGCACATGCAGACCTTTACGGGCGACGCGATCGCCGACTACGTTGTGAGCATCCAAGGCAACCGCATGGGCCAGTCGTCGTGCTTCTTCTTGACGTCCAAGTATATCGTGACGCCGGTCAAGGACACGCCGTTCGCGACGCTTGAAGAGACTGCGATGCAGTTTGCCATCGAAGGCGCGGCCGCCTACCCGCGACGCGAGCACGACCACCGACAATGGCTGTCGCACCATTCGCTACTGCTCGTGCTCGTCGTGCTGGCGGTCTTTGGGTTTGCGAACGTGGCCATGCTGCGAATGACGACGCGGAGGTTTTGGCTGCAGCAATTCCGCACCAAGCGGAAAAACTCCGTGCCCGTCGTCTAGTCGGTCCGAACTACCTCGTCGTACAGTAGAGCACTCTAATACACACCCCTTTCTCGAAAGCAATAAGAAAGCACGATTAGGGCGTTGATGACGCGTCGCGGCGCACGTAGAAGAGCACGTAAGCTTGGGCTGAAATCGCATCCTCGGCCGACGTGGGGCTCGTCATGCTGTCGTTGAAGCTGTACCAGCGGTCGTTGCGCGGGTTCTTGGCCTTGGCCGTGTAGTGGCCGCCGCCGAGCCCGCCTGAGTGCTCCGACACTGCATACAGATCGTAGATGGCGCCGTCCGTCGACGGCCCCACGACAAACTCGGACACATCGAGGCCTACGAGAACATCAGATATAACCTGCAGGCGCGATGCACAAGAGACCAGAAATGGGAAAGCGGACTAGGGTCGAGATCTTGTCGCGGTGCAAGTGGTAGTGGCCTTGGTTGTATCGGAAGCGCTTGAGGTGCAAGAGGAGGATGGTCGGCAGCGAAAACAAATCAAACTTCTTGAAGGCGCGGACGTGGTCCTTGCAGCGTGGGCAGTACCACGTGTCCTTCTCGCCGAGCTGTTCGCGCTCCGTAAACTTGGCAAAGCACGACTGCAAATCCAGCGCCGGGTCTCGTCGCGACCGGAGCTCGAGCGCCGACGTGTGCGTGTTGCGCTGGCGCGGCGCCGCGTCATTGTACCCGTTCTCGTAGCTAGTGTGCAGGGCATCATCATTTGACGACGAGAATGCGCGCACATGCACGTACCCGTCGGCTGTCCACTGCAGCGTAAACGTGAACGATCCGCGCAAAATGTCGGCCGAGAGTCCGTCGTCCGCGCTCTCGGGCAGGTGGCGCTGGAGGTACTCGTCGACGCGGGTGTTGGTCACGTGCAGCACGTACGGCCGCTCGGTGCACGAGCCTTTCACGACGCGTTGCACCGCGTGCGCAACCTTGGCGTGGATCTCGGCCAGCGACGCATTGCGCGCAAACGAAACCAGCGCCGGGACTTGGAAGAGCCGTCGCTCAATACGACGCGCTTTCGCATGGTTGTTCAACGACGAGTACCGGTAGCTCGTCGTCGTTGCTCCGGCGGCATCGTCGTCGTCGGCGTCGTCGTCTTCGGGCTGACGGGCGTCGTCGCTCATGCTGCTCGGGGACCCGTCCGGCGACGGCATTTGATGCTGGATCGCCACCAGACACATGGCGCGGTCGCTGGGCGACGGCAAATTGAGGTTCATCGACGCCGTCGACGTGGTCGCAAAGAGACTCGAGGACCGAAACTCGTACGCATCCAACGCGTGCTCAAGCTCGTACGCGACAACATTCTCGTGCGCGCTGTCGTGGATCAAGTCGGTGACGTCGGCGGCGTCGACGCACACGCTCGCGATACGGTGGTTCTTGACGCGCACGAGCAGGAGGCGGTCGATGGGAATGCCCGAGACGGCGCTCAACGCGGCCTTGGCGTCGCCCATCGAGCCTTCTTTCGGAACCAAGAGCCCATACTGGGTTGGCATGCCGCCGTCGGCGCCATAGACTGAAACAAGGATCGACGTCTATACACCCAAATGAAATGGAGAGAAGGCGACTTGTGCGTACCTCGTTGGGCAAAGGCAGCGAGAGGCTCATGTACGGGTCAAACGTGATCGACTCGTGCTGGCACACGGGGCACGTCACATGGCTGCGCAGCTGGCCCATGAAATGGTCGGTAATGACCGAGTCGTTCCGGCGGAGGTACTGCTGCCACGCTTCTTGCGCGACGACCGCGTCTGGCCGGCCGTTGGCTTCAATGGTCTCGGTCACGGGCTTTCGCAGCACGCGGTTGAGGTCTTCGTGGAGGCCGTCGAGGATGAAGCTCAAGACTTCTTGGCTGTCTTGCTGGTTGTAGCCCGCAAACGCTGGCGCGTACTCGCCAATGACGTACTTGAGGTCCGTGGGCGCCACGATATCCACGTCGCCCGACCAGAGCTGCTGCAAGAGCTTGGCAAACGCGGTGGCAATCTTGCCCGACATGCCCAGCGGGTTGGTCGTGTTGATCTCCGACTCGTACAACGGCGCACCCGACTCGGTCGTCGCCAAAAAGTACTGCAAGAGCGGCGCCGAGTTGCTAAGGCACTGGAGCACGCTGTTGAGGAAGCACGTGTTGCCAAGGTTGCGCAGCCCGACGACGCCGACAACGTCCGGCTTGCGCTGTCCGTACGACGAGTACGAGGACGACGAGTACGACGAATACGACGACGGGCGACTGTACGTAGAGGACTGCAGGTACGAGCCCGATGAGTGCCCAAAGTGGGGTGCTGCAGCGACCGAGGGCACCACCGGCGGCTTCTTGACGTGGTCGTGGGCCTTGGCGACGGTCTCACTCGTGACGTCAACGACGGCCGTCGAGCGCTCCTTGTCCATTTTAAAGTCCAACTCGAGCTCGATTTTGCGGCCGTACAAGAGCTTCCGGGGGTTGCCTCCGGGCCACGCAAGCGGCCACGGGTCGTCCTCAATCTCCGACGTGACGACGCGCGTGATCGTTGCGAGCACCCAATCGCGCGTCAGCCCGCGGTTCTCGTTCGGGCAGAAGTCGACGCTGTCACCGGCGCGGAGACCCTCTCGCCAGTTCGTCGACGTCGTGTGCAGCGGCGCGAGGCGGTCCGAGTGGATCGGGATCGTTTCGTTGAATTTGGCGCTGTTCCAGCTGAGGTAGTGCACGGTCACGTTGTTGCTGCTCACGGCGACGATGCGCGCTTCGTACCTACGACGCTGTCAACGGCGCAGGTTGGCGAGGACCGATCCCTACCACTTGTTGCTCGAGTCTTTTGCATCGAGAAAGTCACCGGGCGCAAGCACATCCCGCCACCCGTTGGCTTGGACGTTGCTCATAAAGTGGAGGCCGTTGCGCTTGTCCGACGGTGCGGCCTTGTTATCGTAGGATGTCTCGATGAGAAAGTAGCAGTAGTCTTCAACCTCGTCGTCCTCCGGCACCGGCAGCATCAAGTTGAGCTCGCCGGTCGTGAGGCTTGACGTCGCTTGCGTGTGGTTACTCGATGGGTTGACGAGGGTGCTCCAGTTGCTGTCTTTGAGCCGCGACTTGCCACAGAGCCGGATCGACGCGTTCCACGCCGCTTCGTTCGCTGCATGGTCCGTGCCCGCGAGCTCAGGAAACAGCGTCGGAAAAAGCTGCGTGATGTGGCAATACACGATGGACTTGAGCTCCGTGACCTCCATGGACGAGTCGATTAAGATGTGTACGAGCTTCCCGCTGCGCTGTCGCACCGGTGCCGGCGCGGTCATGCCATTGGACCAGTACAAAAGCTGCGATTTCCAATTGAGACGAGGGTCCAGATGCATGCGCAGTGGCTAGTACCTGCGCCATGAGCGGGTAGAGCTCAATCGTCTTGGTCGCGTTGCGGCCGCGGAGCACCACGTAGCGGGGGATCTCGACCTTGGGCTCGGGCAGCGCGTCCCACTCGGCTTGTTCGAGCAGCTGGAAGTCGACGCCCTCGATGAGGCCTCGGCGCAGGCCCGTGCCACTCGCCCCGAGGAGCGGCGGCCCGTCGGCGTCCGCCGGCGCCACGTAGAACACTTGGCCAACCTCCATCGCAGCGAAATGGAATGTCCGGATACGTCAGCCGGATACGGCGGGGGTGGCGACGGCCACGTTACGTGGCAGCACGTCCGAGCAACCGGTCCTGCGTGATGGCCAAGGACGACTCCAATTCAAAGGATCGACTAACTAACTACGTCTCTCTATCTCGTCACTGGGCGTCTTTCTCTTCAAAGTCAATGTAGGGCGTGCACTCGGACGTGGGCTTCCTGTCGAAATGTGATATCGTTGTGTACGAGCCGTCGCCAAGTGCAAGAACGGAAGATGGTGCGCTCGGGACTCTCTGGTCTTGGCGGTGGCCCGTGCCCGGCAGCGAGATACACGGTCCATACTCGACGACCTCAAGAGGACCTGCACCCCATCATCACAAGTCTTCCTCCCATTAAGCATGCATGGCGAAGAAAATCCGCAGGAATCTGGTCGCGGCGGCCCGTTGCAGCCATTGTCGCAGGCGCGCGGTTGTTGGGAAAGCGCTGGCGTTCGACCGTGTAAATTGCACCAAGAACCTTGAGTGGATTGGCGCAGCTCCATCTTGGCGTCGATCCAGACCCATGCGTGTGGCGCACGGCTCAAAGACTTGAAGGGCGTAGATCTTAAGCGTGTGTTGGGAGGGTCTCCAAAAGGGAGCATTCGGAGCATCGCCCGCATCCACGACCGCACCTCGCGTCGCCCGGACGCGAACAACCCGAAGTCAATGACTTCGAAGCACGGTCTTGGATCCCAGCAAGTCAGGTTGGGATACCTACCGACACCGAGGATGCTTGAAGCGGAGGTGTGTCGCTCGTACGCATCGTCAGACACAGTAACAACGACCATGTCGATGCCTGACGCAGGATCTCGGAGGCGCCGAAGTTAGCGGCCGCTACCATCGCCGAGCTCGGATTGATTCAAGCACAACCGTGTGGCTAATCGATGCGGCGCGTCGGCCCACACTAGAAACGAAGCGGCGCCCATGGTGTCATAGAGTCCGCCATGCGCAGGGGTCATAATCGAGCCCGTGCCCAGGCCGCGAAGGACCGACGATCGCTGGACGCTGTCACTCGCCAATGTGAAATGCATGCGTCAGCCCCGCAACGCCACTTGCAGCGTGTACCTCAACGCCGACCTTCACGCCGTGCTGCACCCCAGCGTGGTCCCGGCGTCGTACATGTCGACGGCGATTGCGTGGCGCACATATCGTTGACATCGAGTGGCAAATGCGCGGCCCTGCGCAGCTCTACTACGGTACGGAGCGCATCTACTTGTTCCTGCCGCGAAATGGACGGGCGACGGTGCAAGGTGTAGCTCGAGGGCACGACGACGCGGTCGACCAGGAGCTGCGAGCTCGCATTCTCGGCAGTGGGCTGGAACGTGGAGAGCACCATGGACGCGTAGCTGCACTTGGGCGTGTGATGCGTGTAGAGCTGTCGACGCGCATGGGCGGTGGCGAGCCCGCACCCAAGGCCGCCCCGCGTCGTGATGGTTGAACCGAAGATCCGCCGACCGTGGGATATAAATCCAATGGCGCTGTAAAATAAAAGGGAGCTTGTTATTTGTATGCCATGCTGTGAAATATAATAAAATAGTGGTGGCGACTGGGAATTCTATTACTATCGCTTCGACGTTTTTGACGGGCGAGCGATGACGGAGCGCAGGTTCACACTCCGGAACGAGGCCGATGGCGACGCGTCGCAGGCGGCGCTTAGCATCGTGCGCTTCCTGCCGCCCCCGGCCGTCGCCGACGCCAGCGCATTCGAAGAGCGCGGCCGGGTCCATGCAACCATGGCCATGTCGCTCGCCGACGAGCGATCTTTCGCCGACGTGCTTGCGCAGTTGACGTCGCTCACGGTCGTTGCGCCGCTGCCCAAGTGGCGCGGCGTCGGCGTCGTCCACGTCGGCGACTGGGGCCCCCACGCCGTGCAGCTCTCGGCCGACCAACTGCATGAAACGGACCAAGTGCGCCTGACGTTGTCGTGCGATTGTACACCGGACGCTGCCACCTCACCCGACGACGAGCGCTCGACCTTGTACCGCGTGCTCTTGACGCTGCAAGAGCAGCTGCAACCCGAAGAGGCCGTGCCCGAGCGTCCGCGCCGCGTCAACAGCACGTTCGAGCGCGACAGCGACGAAGAGAAAGGCCACGAGTCGTCGCCGCCGCCGCACCACCGCACGCCGCGACGGTCCGAATCAGCGCCCGTGTACAACGAACCACCGACGCCGCCGTTCGAGGACCTTCCCGTGACGCGCGCCCGCTCCAATACCGTGCGGTACCTGCTCTCGAGCCGCGAGGGCTGGGGCGGCATCGCGTTCGAGGGCTACTTGAACAAGAAGGGCGACCTCCTCGCGGCTTGGAAGTCGTGCTACTGCGTCCTCGAAGGCAAGACACTTGCCGTGTACGACACGCGCGAGGACTTTATCGCGGACGTCGGGCTCAAAGTGCGCATGCTGCTGCTGGCGGTGGACGAAGAGAACGGCGCCAAGGCCAACGGCTTTAGCATCCGCACCGAGGGGCACAAGGTGCAGCACATGGCGTCGCGCACGGCGTTTGAGCGCGATCAATGGATCCGCGCCATCAAGGTCCATCGACTCCTCGTCGCGTGGCTGCTGATGTAAGATGGGTCGTAGATCCAGCTCGTCCAGTACACGCAGCAAGTCAGTACGAAGGGCGGTCCGATGACGCCGACGACGCCGCACGTCGCGTTTGCGTCGCAGGCCATCGACGTGCCCGTGTTTTACACGCTCTTGAGCAGTCTCTTGCGCGAAGAGATTGCGGACTTTCCGATTTTGTGCCGCAACATCCACCCGGACATCCTCTTGACGAGCAACTACCCGCCGATCGTACCGTTCTGGGGCCAGTACCGGCGCTACGACGGCCTTCTCTTGTACATCTCGGCCATCCTCGAGACGGTCGACGTCGAGTCGTTCGAGATGGCCGACATTGTCGAACTCATTCCCGAGTCGTCCGAGTGCGCGAATTTGGACGAAGCCGCGATTCCGTACAAGAAGCGCCTCGTTGTGACGGGCAAGGAGACGTTTTCGATCAAAAACATGGACCCACCCCGGAAGATTACCCAGCTCTTTGTCCACGAGCTCTGGCTCGACTACAAGGATCGCCTCGTGCGCTGGCACATCAACGGCGACTCGGTCGTGCTCTCGGTCGCCTTTGACGCCTGCGATAAGGTACACTTCTTTCATGGCATCTCAGTCGATACGATATAATACTATGGAACGCTAGGGCAAGGGTCTCCGGCTCATGCTGCCCGGTGAGACAAGTGCGATCCAACAGGCCATTCCCGCTGGTAACTTTTACGTGCAAGTGCTCAAAGCCCAGTCGCTTGGCCTCCAGGACGCTGGGGATGCCAAGGCCACTGGTGTCTACGTGCGCTGCGTTGTCGTCGAAGGCACGCATGTCGAGCGCACCTTTGACGGCCTCGACGGGTACCTCGCCACCAACTCGGACGTGTCGCCGTCCAAAGAGGACGGGATGGCCAAGCCGACCAAGGCGACGCGGCTTCTCCGCGGCTTGCAGCGCGCAACGGGCACGAGCATCGAGCGGCCGTACGCTCCGTACGGCGACAAGAGCGGGTGCGTCACGTCGATAGCGACGCACAAGCCGCAGAAGGACGTCGAGTGGAACTCGAATTTGCGGCTCGGATTTCCCGGCTGTCCGCGCGGCAGCCACTATGTGCTCAAGATTGAGATTTACCAAAGCCGCTTCATGATGAACGACGTGCTCGTGGGCGTCTGCAAGGTCAACTTGTCACCGCACATGGCGCTCACGACCGCGTCGGCCGAGGCGAAAGCCAACGGAGCCCTCCCTCGATGGTACAACCTCTGCGACATTTACCACGACTGCAAAGAGTGGTGGGCCCCGCCCACGGTCTTTCGGGGTCGTCTCCAGCTCGCGATTGTGTACGCACCGAGTCACCAACCGGGCGCGACGATGCTGCCGTCGCCCGTTGAAACGACGGCGACCGACACGACCGAGACATTGCGCGAATACTTTAGGTACATTCTTATCTTGTTTGCCACGTGACGAAAAGAACGTATATATTAGTACCCAAGAGACCAAGAACATTCCGACGCCGCCCAACCCGCAGCACCAGAGCCTCTTTGGCCTTGGTATGCCGTCGTTGATTCGGTTTACGTCCAACCCGCACGCGCCGCCAGAAATGCTCCGTGACAACCACATCGTCATGGCCAAGAAGACGGCGTTCGACATGCCCGTGCGCTACCAGCTCATCAAGGTCCTCGGTTCCGGCAGCTACGGCGAGGTGATTGCGGCGAGCGACACGGAGACGGGCGCGTCCGTCGCGATCAAGAAGATTCCGCAAGCGTTCCGAGAACTGCTGGACACGAAGCGCATTTTACGGGAAATGTGCTTGCTCCGGCAACTCAAGCACCCGCACTTGATTCGGCTATGGGACGTGCTGCGGCCGCCCGCTGCGCCGAAATGGAAGACATTTACCTCGTGACGGACCTCATGGAGGCCGATTTGCACCGCATCATCCACTCGACGCAGACGCTTAGTGACGAGCACGTCGCGTACCTCATGTACCAGATCTTCCGCGGGCTCAAGTATCTGCACTCGGCCAACATTGCCCACCGCGACTTGAAGCCCTCAAACGTTCTCCTTACGACGCAGTGCGAAGTCAAGGTGACGTTATGATGATGCTATATACACGTGACTCACGGCGACGTAGCTCTGCGATCTCGGTCTCGCGCGGTCACTCGGCACGACGGTCCGCGAGATCCACACGGACCTGACCGAGTACGTCGTGACGCGGTGGTACCGAGCCCCCGAGGTTCTCCTCGACGGTTCTCGGTACGGCATCTCGCTCGACATGTGGTCAGCCGGGTGCATCATGGTACGCGAGCGCTTTCCGAACCGACAACTACAACTCTACTATGATCTTAGGCCGAAATGCTGGGCCGGAAGCCGCTCTTTCCCGGCTCGAGCACGATCACGCAGCTCGGCAAGATCTTCAACGTGCTTGGGACGCCGCCGCCGTCGTACGTCGAGAAGATGATCAAGCCCGCAGCAAAGAAGTGGGTCCAGCGTCAGCGGCCGCGGACCGCCATTCCGTTTTCCGAGATTTACCCGCAAACGAACGCGCTCGCGCTCGACTTGCTCACGAAGCTGCTCACGATCGACCCGGAGGAGCGGATCACGGCGTCGGAGGCGCTGCAGCACCCGTACATTACGTCGCTCGGGCTCTTGTCCGACGACGCGGTGGACACGTTTGTCGGCGTCATTGACGCGTCGCACGAAGACGTGCCCGAGGTCAAGGCGGCGATGCAGGAAGCTGTGTTTGAGCAGGTGTGCATTTTCCACCCGGAAGCGATCGAGGCCGAGAAGCTACTGCACGCGCAAGACGTCCAGTTCCGCGTGAGTCCGCTCAGCGGCCAGTTGAAGCCCACCAAGTGGTGAGAGGTTCCCGGTTCCGTCCATTGCAGGAGGCAAACAGCAATCTCAATGAAACGTACCAATCGCATTACACCTTGACGCGGATTGGTCGAAATCCAGTCCAAGACTGACGACCCGGGGGGGCCTACTGGCCCGTCGCGCGATCGGATTGGCCAGCGCTGTATCCAATGGGCGACGCTCGCATACGAACGCCAAGTGGTTTTGGAAAACGTTGAAGTGAAAGTGGTCGTACAGTGTACGTAGCGATCTTTCCCTCCCACGAGCGTGATTCCCTCTGAAATCGCATGCGAATCTTATCGAATCTCAGAGGCGTAGGGGGGTTTCCAACTGATTTGCGGGTGGGGGCCCCATAAAAATAGAAAATTCGAACGCGCTAGGCGGCGACAGTAGCTGTTGTGAAACGGAAGCCACAGGCCAAATCGTCGAGGATGGCGGACCCGCAGCTCAAGATGAAGACCCACCACCGGCGGCAGATCCCGGACTGGGAGCGCAAGTTCCAGTGCCCCCACCCGCTCTGCGGGAAGCGCTTCACGCGCAAGTTCTCGATGACCGAGCACATCAAGACGCACACAGGCGACAAGCCGCACGAGTGCACGGCCAAGGGCTGCGGCAAGAAGTTCACGACCGCCGGCAACCTCGCGCGCCACCGCAAGATCCACGACTGCGCGACCAAAGACAACAACCACAACAGCGAGACGTCGCCGTCCTCGACCAAGTCGTCGGCCGACGACTTTAACCCGCCCATGGACAAGGCGCAGCTCGCGCGCCGCCGCTTCTCGGTGCCGACGACGTCGGCCGATTTTTTTACACAGTACAAGCCCGCGCAGAGCGCGCTCCTCTTTGCGGACCCGGCCACGATCCTCCAAAACAAGATCGAGGCGACGCGGAGCTTTGAGACGGGCGCGACCGACGCGGCCGAGAAAATGGGCGCCTTTGCGCCGCCGCAATGGATGGGCGTCGACCTCGCAAATACACACCCGATCCCGTACCGACCGCCGACGCATCAGCCGCCAATGGCCCACCCGCGCAGCCAAAGCCTCACGCACGCACAGCTGAGCTCGCAGCTCCAGGCGTTCCAGGCCAGCCTCCGGTTTGATCCGTCCACGTCTTATGCCGGGTCGCCGCACCGGATAAACATCGACACGCTTCTGCAAGACCCGGACGAGATGGACGACATCAAGGAAGAGGACGACGAGCATTTGCTACACAACAACAACAACAACAACAATGCGATGCTGTGCGCGCCCAACCCGATGCTGCTGCCCAACGCGCCTGGCGCCGGCCTTGGACGTACGTTGCCTTTCTGATTCATACTACTTATTGCAATGGGTACGCTTGGGTGCTCACGATGGATACGATGTAGTGGGCATGTCGTTCGAAGCGCAGAAACCCATGGGGATGCACCTCGCGGCGCCGGCCGCCGACGCATTCGAACCGTACGCGCCGACGCCGGAGCTTGATTTCGAAGACTCTGAAATCATCCAAATGTTGATTTCGGATCGGTCCGACGATGAAGTGCTCTCGCCCTCGTACAGCGACATCAACAGCAACAACAACCACAACCACAGCCAGAACGAGTACCTCACGACGACGTCCAGCATGATGTTTGACATGCCGCCCGAGTGGCACCAGAAAACCGAGGCGTACCGGTCGTCGACGCCCGCCACGTACACGCCCACGCCCACGAACGGCGTCGCCAACGGGCTCAACTATTGCTCGGCATGAACACCTCCCGTCCCATACTACAAGTTGATATATATCTAAACAGGAAAAATGCTATTTTGTGCACACTGTGTCGGAGGCGGGAGATAGGGTCAGCACACCGTCGAGCGAGCGAAGGTCCGATCAGCTTTGAGGTT